CATTGCACTATTTTATTAGACATTTTTTATATGAAGCAAATTATTTATTTAAAAATATTTATTGGGAAGACTGATTTATTGCGCAACTTTTTTACCTCTTGTAATTTTTCCATAAAACCGATAGTTTTGTAGTAAAAAAATTAGATGAGTCATCGTTCACTATAGGGGTAACTGCGAAAATTTGTAAAAATAAAGTAGGCGGATGCCATAACAAATAAATTGTTATTCATCATATTAATAAATTGACACTTTCTGCCAATAAGCTGGTAATTTAATAATAACATTAAGAATAATTTGCTTAGGTAAAGTTAATTATCTGAAATAAAATTTAATACAAACGAAATACAAGAAATGCAAAATTAAATTTAAAGAACATTCTCGAAATAATTTCCTATGTGGAAGAATAAAAGGACCTACTAGAGTATTTCCTACATTTATTAAAACTTGAAAAAAATATCCATTTTCGAAAAATTCAATTTGTGCAAAAACTATGAAATATTTTGCAATTTTACAAAAACGCACTTATTCTACTTGCCATATTCTGAAAGTTACGTAAAGAAATGTTTTTTCGTTTTAAAGATATAGAAGTTTTTAAAAAATGCGATTTTTCGCCGGTTTCTTGCAATAACTAATACATTTGTTTATCAATTGATATCAGGCTGGGTTCAAAATTTTTGTTATAAAAAGTGTTACTTTTGCTTAAAATATTTTTTTTTCTAAAATGTTCTAACATTCAGCTGATATAAAGAAGTTCTCTCAATTCTACGGAAGTTTTCCTAATTTTTATATATCTGTTTACTGAACTAAATTTTGGTACGTAAAAATATAATTTCATTGGACCATAAGTCATAAATACTTATTTGCACTTTAAAATTTGAACTTATATTTTTTTTAATCGCAAAATTCCAATATTTTGTTGCAGCTAATAAAAATTACTGGACTTATGCATTAGGTTTTAAGAGAGACGTAATAATATGAATCACAGTTACTTGTATTAATTTTAATGTAACCAATTATCGACAACAACGGTTTTTAAAAATTTTTGGCTGACAAATAAGTGGGTGTCAATATTATGAATTCATTATGAGAGGCAATTTTCCAAATAAAGATAATATGTGCAATATTCTAAATTTATTCAAGAAAGAAAACATTCCTGCAGTGGCATCAATAGAACAGTGGCATGACTATCATAAGAAAGGAGACGAAAAAGAAGTAAAAATTAATGGAAAGAGAAAAAATAGAGATTTTAAAAATAAAATATAGATACCTATATACATTAATAAATAGTTGCGGTTAAATTTCATATTGGTATTAGTGTAAAGTGATCATCCATATATAGGAATAACAATAGGAATTATGAGTAAATATTCGTGGAAATAGAAAAATGTACACAATATCTGTAGCAAAACTCAAATAGTATTAGGAGACAATTCTTATAATCAATTAATTACGTCACGATATTTATAGTAACCGCTTGCCGAAAAAATTTACATTCTATGTAAGTACAGTACCTATCTAATAAGAAAGATAAGAAAAGTAATGAAGACTGTGTGGTTTAAAAGTTAACAGTAAAGTCTAGAAGAAAAACAGACAGCTACAAAGAAACTAATTAATATGGAAAAGTATACACCAAGCAGAAATTCAAAAGAACTAATGATTAATGATTTTATAGACAGGACAGCTGTATACTATACACGGCTGTTTCTTGCCAATAACTTTATATCCCTAGCTTGAAATCATTTTCCTCGCTACAAAAGTGTAAAAGGTAAAATTTATGTTCGTTACTTGTCACCAGTTGCATGAAACTTTAGTTGGAAATTAATAATAACGTATAAAAGGAATATTAAAGTAGACAGCTATATCATTTACATGTATATTTTAATTAAAGTCAGAACAGAACTGAGATTCAGAAAAAAAATCCGATTGTTTCGAATGCTCAATACTCTTCTTTCATCCTGAACTGAGCAAAGTTGTTTCGAAACTAAAACACTAAACCTGATGCGTAATCGCGTCAGTTTTTCTTGCGTTAAGGTCTAACTTAGATGCACCAAGACATAATAAAACACGTGAACAGTTATAAGTTGTCGAAAGGTACAAAGTTGCGATCTCTCGTAGCCATCGACAACTAATTACTGTTTGGTGGTCATCATGTAGTTCCAATGTGGTACATCTTTAATTTCGTGGACACTATTTGGCATGTATTTCAATGTTGGTGTGGGTGGTTAAGGTTGAGATTTGATAAGATTGTTTTTATTATTATTTTTAAGTTTGTTTGTTTTAAAATTGATAAACAAGTTGAATTTTATGAAATTTTATCGGAAAAAAATTACTGAAATCCGATATTTTTGTTCTGGTGAAGTTACATTTCTCCTAAATGGTTGTGCAACTGAAGATCTACATTGGATGCAAGAGTATCACATTCAGACCCAGAAAAAGTGAATGTTTGGGTCGGAATAATACATAATAGGACCATAGTTTTTTGAAGGAATTTTAACACGTCCTCGATATTTACAATTTCTGCAAGACGATTTGCTGTGTTCAAACATAAACGATTTATGACTTCAGCAAGATGGTGCACCCAGACACTATTCCTTATTGGTAAGAAACTACTTGGACAATGTCTTTCGAGGAAGGTGGATGGGGCGAAGAGGATCAATTGAATGACCACCTAGGTCTCCAGATTTAACCCCCTAGATTTCTTTTCAGGGATATTAAAAAGTAAAGTAGATCACAAAATCCAGATGCATTAAAAGAACCCATTCGGACGGAGTTGCCACAAATAACTTCGGAAGTTCGAGAACGGCTTATTTCTTGTCTTTCTCACTTTATTATAACTGAGGATCGTTAATTTGAAAATCTATTGTAACCTGTGTTAAAAATAAATTTTTTGTTGTAATTTCTTTGGTTGAGTAGAGAATTACAAGACCTTTCAAAGGAGCTGTCGCATGGCCTACATATGTATTTATCCTTTCATTTGCATAAAATATATAACTAAACATTGCTTTATGCATTACGCCTGTATACTTATATTGTAACAGGTAAATTTATTATTTTAAAGGATTTTATGTTTCGTAAGGGTTGTTATTCGAACAATGAATCGTGTAGAGTTAATAGCCTAATGAATTATTCTTCTAGTTTGCTTTCACTGCTATTATTCTGTCAGTGTGTAAATCCCATTTCCTAACACAGTTAGTCGTAGAAATTTATTTATGACCTAAGTTCATTCGATTCTCCTACTGACTTATTTATTCTGTTCAACCCTATCAAATTTCTATTAATAAAGTGTTTACTTTATGAAAAATGTGATCTGAATGTAGATATCAAACGAGCGATGCCAAAATAAGTCTCGGAATCCTCGAATCTTAATTTTAATTGAAATAAATCACGAGACACTTAAATTTTAAAAAATTAAAAAATTATAAATATTTGATACTCACAGTGCGGCAGTAAATTTTGCCTCGAGAAATTTTTTAAGTGTCTCGTGATTTATTTCTATTCTTTTGCTCATCAAATTCAATAAAAAAAAAATATTAGTTCGTTGATATTTATTTTTAGAGGTCGCTCGAAAACTTTTTAGGTACACTACTTTAATAAAGTTAAAATAATTATGTGTGACATTTAGAAATTAAAATCCAAATTTTATTCGTGCAACTCTCTTGGTTTCGACAATGCCTATGTATTAAGGCGGTCCAAAAAAAAATTTATATATTTTTTTTCGTGTTTCTTGTGAAAATTTGTTAGTTTGTCATGTTTTAAGAGCTCCCTCAAAAAAATCAGCTCAAAAAAATTGTATTAGCTATGTCCTATTCAAATTTTGTTAGTGCAACTTTCTTGGTTTCGAGAATGCTTATGTATTAGGGCGGCTCAAAAAAAACGAATATTCTTTTTGAGCTGATTTTTTTGAAGGGGCTTTTAAAACATGATACTTACATATTTTCAAAAGAGACACGAAAAAAATATTCGTTTTTTTTGGGCCACCCCAGTACACACGTATGTAAAAGTTCTGTAGACTCAGAATATTTAATTAGACAAACTACTGGACATTGATCGAAAAAATGATTTTTAGGAAATAGTGCATTTTTTTGCAGTAAATGATAATAAAAACACTCCGTTCTATAAGATAAAATACAATAAACTAGGAATCCGGAATTTGAAAATTAATAATGATCTCCCGAAGGGGGAGTGTAACTCATTTTTTTAATTTTAATTTTCAAAACGATTTGGTACCAAATTGAAATACTTGGGACCTTTTAAGAGCACTCTAGCATTTCTCCTCTTTTGAGCACTCATTATTTTTACAAGAATCTTATATATAAAATTAATTTTCTCAGTTTTTTACATAAAAAAGTTATTGATAAAGCGAAGTGTTTACGGGAAATTCAATTTAAAAGCTTGTATAGCAGAATAATACTGCATTGTCGAGGTAGCAGTGACAATTTCTTCATAGCATAGCGAATATATTTTTTTAATTAATAAAAAATCAAAATTCATAATAAGTATTCAAACTGACTTCAGTTTTCCTGGATACACAATTTTAACCTATCTTTTAGAGACGGCGTAAATCTGTTTGAGTATCGGTTACGGTACTGTAAACCTTTTATTTTGAAAAGCTCCAGATGATAAAATCTAGAGGATTTAAGTCTGCCTAATACGGGGGTATCTGAACATCTTCCAAGCTATTTTTGCAGACAATATTAGCGTAACCATCATCTAATTTCCCTTGTAAAATGAGGTGTAGTCCCACTATGCATTAATACCTTTGACATCTATTATTACTTGAAAAATGTGATTTTCTAATATTTCCTGGTAAAACATGAAATCCAATAAATAAAAAGGCTTCTGAAGAGATGAAACTGCTTCGGGTTAAGGATAATCTGGGTAATAATAATAAGGATAATCGGGATAATAAACAAACTGAAGGAACTTTGAAAGGGACTTGCACATTTTAATATTTTCTGGTTTTTTGAATGACGAAATTAATATGAATTTTATTCTTGCAGTGCAGAATGTAAAAAGACCAACGCATCGAAGTTTCCCTATGGTGAAAGATATCACTCGGGGATTCCACCAAACGTTACTGTGGACGAGTTGTGTTTTTATAGAAAAAGAAGACCAGGTATGTTATTGAATTTTCATAGTTGCAATTATAGTAAGTAATCTCAAATATTGTAGTAGATGCATGGTCGAAAGATAACCTGAAAGTAGATAAAGGAGAATTTAAGTCACTCAAATCGGAATATAAAAGAAGATTTACAAACGTTTGGCAAGCATTTAATAAGTCAATAAAAGAAGAACAGGTAAGGAAAATCAATTATTGACTATTTATTTTAGAAATTTAATTATCTAAAGAGTAAAGCGCCTAGATTTAATCATTAATGCAGGTTAAGTTAGGTAACAAAGTGAATATGTACCTACGCGGGAGCGCAAATGGCTCCATCTGTCGTGCGGACTCCCAACTGTGCCATTCAAATGGCTACAGTAGGAAGCGACCTGCTAACTGCAGGTACTTAGTTGCACGACTGCCACCCACAGAGGGCGTAACACAATATTTTAATTGTCAGTGTTGCGAGAAACAACTACTCCGAGAGCTATATGCCCCTACCGGCATTGAATTATACTCGCAACACCTAGTGCAACAGCTAGGATCGTTTGTCAGTTTAACGGTTGTCGGTTGTTGTACCTATGACACACTGATGAGGACTAATAAGTCCGAAATCGGTCTGTGCCTGGTGGGTTAAACTGACTGACAAACGATGCTAGCTGTTGCACTAGGTGTTGCGAGTATAATTCAATGCCGTTAGGGGCATATATCTCTCGGAGTAGTTGTTTCTCGCAACACTGACAATTCAACAAAGTTAATAGTTATATAAACTATTCCTTAGATAAAATAAACACAAAAGGCTCGGATGAACTAGTGGTCAAACCTTACTCTTTATAAAATTACAGTTTATCTAGATGGTCTTTTAAATATTTCTGTTTCCTGGAAAGTGTAAAGGTTAACTATTTCCTGTTATCAATTTTCAATGATATCGTTTTTGTCACAGTCATATCCAGAAAAATAAATCAGGGCCGGAATACAAACTTATTTTCCTTTTCCGAATGACATGTCAAACACAAAAAAGACAAAAAGACTCTTTGAAAGTGATCTATCTAAGTCGACCATAGTACACCGTTTACAAGTAAGAATATCTTAAAGGTTGAGGAATGCTCGAAGAGCTACTATAAAGGGTATAACCGATTATTAAGCATATGAAAACTGTACCAGCGTCTAATGACCTTGAAAGTCCGATTCTAAATCTTTATTTTGTAGTTATATCCACTGGGTGTTCCGGTACTTGATACAAAAAAGTCCAATACAAACAGTTGAGCTCAAATAATATCAGTTCTTCGTATAATATTTTTAATATGGGCCTTCGTCAACAATTTACGAGCCCTCAAATGTGAAAATTAAAAAGTTTTTTTATTTACAGTCTCTAAACTATTAAGTTCAGCATGATGCAAATTTCTTGATCGATAATACATGCGTACAGCTTATTTTTCATGTTGTAAGTGAAACTTCATTATGGCCAGAACGCCAGGGACGGACTATGACCAATGGTTAACAGTCCAGAATTTTTGCATAGATGACGATCGCAATCTGTCTGTATCAGAAATAAGTTCCCTGAAGAATTTGTTAACGATAATACCCTCTTGGTTCAACTCGGTAAAACTAACAGTTTAGGAAATATTTGTGATTTTAAGTAACAGTGCATATCAACCGGCGCCTTCACCATTTTTTTTTTTTAAAATTAAATAGTACCGATGAATTTTGCTTCACAAGAAATGGCATTTTTAATTCCCATTACTTACGTTTCGACTCTTCTGTAATTTGTATAATAATAGCTAACTAATAAATGAATAAACTGTAATTTTTTGGTAGGTGCCATTTCGGGGGTTGATATAAAAAATCACCCCCCAACAATATAATTTTCGTTTTCTACCGATTTTAATCGAGCTAAAACTCTGGAAAAATCTATAACATGTAATTGGTAGACATTTATAAATATGTAGTTTCAACCTCATTAAGATATATCGAGTACCTATTTTCGAAAAAAAAATACGTTAAGGGTTGCCACCCCCATTATTCCCTAATTAACGAGGGTAGAAGTCTGAAATTAAGTGTCAAGGTGTTTTAGATAAAGAACAATAAATACAAGGTAAGAATTCTTTGGTATAGTCCTTCCCATTTCAATTGAAAACCAAAGAGCTAGGCAGATGTACCAGGTCCGGTCGCTATGCACCAACTCGGCACTGAAATATTTAAAAAACTTGTTCCCATATTTATTTAACCATACCGATATACAAGTCTGGTCCAACTAAACGTGGATGTGGTAGAAATTTATACGCCTAGTTGAAGAACGCGCGCACGGGCAAACAGCGCACAAACACAGCCACACTGGGCGACTGGCCATAAATTTCTGTTGTTGACAAACTGACTAGCAGTGCAGTGCAACAATGCGGAATTATTTTATTGTTGATGTTCTATTTATTAACTTTTCTGACCTAAACTGACAACCTCTCCTAATCCTTTCTTGGCAAGGATATGTTCATACCTTCCCGTTGGTTCTTGCCGAGCACTAATATATTTTAATGAAAATGTAAATGTTTTTTGATATGTCACAACCAAAATTTACCATCAATATAATAAGAATGTTTGAGGACATAAATAATAATTAAAATACGTTGTTGGCCAAATGAACATAATAGAAATTTTCTACACCTTATAAACAAATTATTATTATTTTTTACCTCTAGTAGAAAACTTGTTTAGGGACGATTATGAAACTCATTAAATTTTATTGCTAGGCATTTTTATACAAGACTATACTGATCTTACTTACTCGAAAATGACTACCTATTTTATTAAATTTTGCATCTGCATTCAATAGATTGCGCAACAAATTAAAGTAGACTTTAAAATAATATTCTGATTAACTATTTTAGGATATTTCCAAAGTTGAGCCTTTGAAATCAGAAACCTCGTTACACTTGGAAGGATCGCATGACTTTCAATCTGAATACAATGAATCATTTACTAGACGGACCCTGGAAAGTTTGACGCAACCTTCTGCTGTTTCAGTACAAATAATGGCTGATGGTGTTTCGACAAGGTAAGCAATTAAGGGTTTTTTTACGTCACACGATTAACGTCGATTGTGTGATTATCTTGACGGGAAAACTTTTATTTTCAAATTTTAAATTGAGAAGTCTCGGTTATTGTTATTGAATAAATTGTAAAGTAATATTTAACGTACCTTCCTAATATTAAAGCAATTACTAGAAATTCGTTTAAAGATGATCCAGTTCGTTGTTATTATAAATAAAAGCTGAGTAAAATACAAATTATAACAAAATGAGGTGGTTAAGGCATTATAAACCTGAAAATGTCCTCTTAACTTTCATTATCATTAGCATGGCGTAGCTATTGCTTTCTTATGGGGGGAGGGGGGTCCAAGAATTCGAAAATGTACAAAGTAGTTTTTGCCCGGACTTCACGGAGAAAAAGGCAGAATTCTAAACGCTAAGTAAAGTACTTTATCGGCATTACCGTTAATTTAGCAATAATCTTTGATCCAGTGGCTTCGTTTTTCCGAGTTCTAAGCTGGAACAAATTTTCATATACATAAGTTATCGGCAACACAGATAAATCAGCGGAAAAACTGTCACTCGCACGCGCGAAAGGTGACTCAAAATACGAAAAGTGGGGAAGGGGGGCTTCCTCTTCAATATTCTTCCAAAATGCATAGGTTTCAAGTTTCAAGATATAAGTAAAACATTCAGATAAAACAGGTATTTTTAAAAAATATTTTAAACATTTTTGCAATTTTGAAAATGTTCCGGATCTCGCCCAGATCTAGGGATCTACACTTTTATTATGTGAGTTCTACTGAAGGTATTCCAGCAAAAATTTGCTTGCTCCCTCTCACATCCACTTCAAAACAGATCCTGGTCAAGTAGCATAGTGGTAGATTAGTATAAGGATATTCTTTTTCTGTAAAAATTGATCGACTTCACACTTCATATATTTTAAATGGTCGCTTATTACATATTATTAGTAACTTGAATTCCTTTGGTTCGTAATCATTCCTTCATTTATCATTTCGACATGCGGGTGTAGGTCATTTTGGTCGTTTGTAACCTTTCTCTATAATTTTGATAGTTCATGTCAGCATGACCTTCCCCCGACTTAGATTTTGCTTCAAAGTTAGTTTTGCGTTTGGTATAAAATCATTTTCACATCTAGCATGAACTATAGCTAAACGTTGTCCTTTTGTATAAATCTTCGGAGCCCTTTGTCGTTTTCATCTAATCAAGCATTGTCATGTACGTCTCATTTACGTAAACAGTTGGTCAATTTTCTTTACGATATTGTTTTATTGTTCTCAAAAAATTTAACTTCAAATCTTGGATGTCATGACGTTTCATCATTAATCGTCGGTTGGTGTCCGTTTTGCGTCATCGGAATCAAAAGGTGTACAAAAGCTTACGCAAACTTTCCCTGCCCACATCTTCTTGGAACTTTTTATGGATACGCCTTAGAAGCCGTTTTTTCTAGACCGTACCAATTTTGAACCGTCCTTTGTCCTACACGATTAAATTAATTTTTTTATATTTTTTAAGTCGAGTATGGAGATTTTTAATATATTTCCCCCCCTGTGTATTTCAGTCAAGTTTTGCCTCCTCAACAACGCTGGTTGTCAGGCAATTTTGGTACATATATACGAGCAACCCTAAACTATATATAAACAAATAAATTTCAGGAAATTTGTTTCAGGAAGTTACTTTTAATATCAGAAGAACCGGTTTAGAAGTTGCCGTTTGTTTAATACCTTTCATGCTTCTAAGACATTACACCAATTTTCAGTGAATTCCCTTATGCATGCAGTTGATGTGAAGTTCCCCCATACCGTAAACATCGCCCGATAAGAAAGTATCGGCGCATCAAAATTAATCATCTTAAAACTTTCTACCTAATACGTTTTATCGATTAACGATGAATCTTAATATTATACCGTACGATGAGAAATATTTGTGTTTACAAGCCAAATGCAAATCTCTTAGAAGTCGGCGGGACTCCGTACTGCACAGTCACGAAAGGACTATCAGTCTTTGTGTATTCGTGAAATGTGTCTCACGTTACTTTCCGTCTTGTTGTATCGATGAAGCGTGGTTGCTAGAAGTTGTAAGTAATTCTGCTGTTTACTTGTATTTAAGTGATATTCAAACACGCGAGATACTATATAGCACAAAAGTATAGTAATACGTTGGAAAAAAAATATGTACTCTTATATTACCCACAACTGACAAAAAGTGATAAGATCAAACGGGAACATGAGTTATGGTTTCAATTACTGTCCCGCTTTTTTTAAAGGAAAGGAATTTTTATTTATAAATTATTATTTTCTGTTATTGTAATTGTTGTGTGACTAATTTATACACCCAGAGAAAATATTATGTTTTTATACTAATGTTCTTTTCTGGGGGAGAAAAGTTAATCAGAATAAAAAAGTGTGTACAAACTTTTAATGTCTTAGGTATCTCGAGAAACATGGTAAAAAAATTAAACAAGTGTTAGGTCAGACAATTTTTTTTTGTTATTAAGCTACTTCATTAGTGGAAGAAATAAGATCTTTCTAAATTTTCGATGTTTACTGTAATTAAAATTAAGTATTTTTAGACATCGGTTGACCATCACGTAGAAACTAGAAAATTAATAACACAACTATACACAAAAAATAATTCCAAGAGACCCATTATATCGATCCTACAGTCAAAGTTTATGACTCATTTATGAATTTTGGAGAAAAGTGAAAGTTTTGGGTAAAGAGGTCGCTCAAATTTTTTAAAAATTTCCAAATTGATTTTTAAAAAAAATATTTTTCTCATTATTTTATCATTTTCTAGGTTGAAAAAAAAAACTCGATTCTGAAAATTTCAAATCGATATTTTAATTTCTAAAGGTCACTCATAATTATTTTAACTTTCAAAGTAGTGTACCTAAAATGTTTTCAAGCGACCTAAAAATAAATATCAACGAACTAATAATTTTTTTTATTGAATTTGATGAACAAAAAAATAAAAATAAATCACGAGACACTTGAATTTAAAAAAATTAAATTAAATTAAATTAAAAAATTATAAATATTTGATACTCACAGTGCGGCAGTAAATTTTTCCTCGAGAAATTTTTTAAGTCAAAAATATCTAGAAAAATTAACCTGGTTTTTACAATTGAATTTATATTCAAAATCGAGCTCGAAATAGTGTCATCAGTTTTTTCTATCTTTCGTAGTTTCTGAAATCCTATCGAAAATTGGAAAATATTTCAACATGTTAGTTAAATAAATACCGTTAAAATTTATTCTCAAACTATTGAAGCAGTCACTTGCCAAATACACACAAACGAAGTATGGTATGGAAAAGAATACGAATAAACAGGGTGTGGCGTGTATAATCTATAAAAATTAAACTATAGCTTCCTGATGATATTTGTAATAGAAAACTCTTATACGAAAAAGTTCTATCTTCGCGAGTTTTTTTTTGTTAATTAAAGTTCATTTATTCAACGAAAATGAAGGCCGACCCTGTATTATTTATTAAAAACATTGGAAATGTTTTTATGCGACTCGGTATAGTCGGTATAATCTAATACTAGTAATACTAAAAGGTTAGGTTACATTGTCAAAAAAATTGTGCAGTCAACTGATTGTGTATTTGTATTCACTTAATTATTAAATATGTATTAAGCATTGTCCATCGACCCATCAGTGTTAAAAAGTGAAAGATTCCAGACAGAAGTTTTTATTTTGTAATTCCACGATAGTGACAGTGTAATTTTTATAAAGAAGTAAAAAATAAGAATAGCGTGCCGATTACATTAAAAACGAGATTCTTATTACTTACTTTGCTTAATTTTCTAGTTTGTGCACACTAGTTTTACAAGGAACCGAGAAAACAATGCATTTACTATTTCCGAACGTGTCGATATGGTGTTAGTGTATGGTGCAGCCGGAGAAGATGCGCTCACGGCGACTAGGTTGTACCGGGAACAATAGTCACAAAGTCACCCCCCATGTGTAAATACAATCCTACAGCTCGTTTAGCGGCTGTGAGATACGGGAAGCGTTATTCCTCGAGGAGAAGGACGTCAGCAAGTGAATTTTAATGTTGAAGATGCAGTGTTGGAAAATCTTGACGAGGACCCCACAATTAGTACTCGACGACTCTCACAGCAAATAGGAACCTCATCTCGTACTATACATCGCATCTTAAGGCGCCAGCTGTTACACCCCTATCATCTGCAACCAGTCCAACAGATTTTAGAGTTGTTTCAAAACTTATGAGCTTTGACATTCATATGCGCAGAAACATAATTCCGACCGTCGCCTAAATTATTCTACGTCCTAAAAACCTTACATTTATTATTCTCAGTCTATTTCGAGCTCTCGTAGCGTAAACAAGTCTTTGATCTGACAAATATCATAATAAAATGCTTCTATTCTTTATGATTTTAATATAAACAATAAAAATATATATAACGAACGTTCGCCAGTAAACTTTATTGATGCCCGAGCGCATTAGTTCATTTCTGGTTGTAATGTCAATGTTTTCACAACGTGCTTATTAGAAGAATTATGCGGATACGCTACGCCTTTCGCGCATTTCGCGGCTCATGAGATTTTGCGACTACTCTACCTCCGGATTGTGATCAACGAGTGCGTTTTTGCATATGATTTTTACGGCAATGTGCCAATCAAGTAGACTTTTCTGATTATGTTTGTGTAACAGATAAGGCGACATTTACCCGTGGTAAAGTGAATTTCCATAATATGCACATATGGGCCGATAAAAATCCTCACGCGATTAGGGAAACTCATTTTCAACATCGGTTCTCGGTAAATGTTTGGACTGGCATAATAGGCGATGTACTTGTGGGTCCTTATTTCTTTGAAGGACGACTAAATGGACCAACATATGCTGACTTTTTAGAGAACCGGTTGCCTGAATTATTGGACGATGAGGCATTACAAGTTCGGGCACGTATGTTTTATCTTCAAGATGAGGCTCCTTCACATAGTACTCGAGAAGTAACGACACTTTTGAATGAAATGTTTCCTCAGCGATGGATTGGACGCTTTGGTCCTGTGCCGTGGCCACCTCGATCACCCGATCTAACTCCAATGGACTTTTATCTTTGGAGTCACTTGAAATCATTGGTTTACAATACTTCAATTGCTGTGGGGGATGAATTGCGAAACCGTATACTTGAAGCTACTGACACAATTAGGGGAGTACCTGGAATTTGTGAAAATATTCGCCAAAATTGGGTGCGTAGAAATGGTAAGTTTTATTTAATTCTGTTCCATAATTTAATGGAGTTTGTTTAGTGCACGCAGTTGGAAACTACATATGCTTACGGATGTGGTTTTGTTTGCGAACGCTTGCAGTAACAACAATGCATTTAAGATAGTAATTACTATTAATTATTATAATAAGAAAATTTCAGAATTTTTTTAAATATTTTTTCTTAGCTTGTACTTTTGTATTAAAAAATTCCCCAAAAATTGAGAAGTACCTTTTTATCTTTCAATGACGATTTGTTTACGCGGCTGGTCTACAGCACGTAACTAAATTATTGAACTTTAAGTTACGAAAAAAAAAACGCAAAAATAGAGCTTTTTCGTGTAAGACTGTTCTATTACAAATATTGTTAGCAGGCTGTAGTTTAATTTCTATAGATTATACACGCCACACCTTGTATGTAAGTTTTGCAGAAGTTCGCGTATTTTAAATTAGTCAAATGCCGTATAGTGTGGATGACGCATATCAAAAGCCTGTAATCACTTGCCAAATATTTTACGAAAGCTAGACAAACGATTCATTATTTGAAATATTTTCAATAAGAATATGATTTTTTCAGCGGAAGGTACATAAAAACACATACACGATAAATGATCAGCACTTCAGGCATGCGGAATTGTTGTTTAGAGATACTTGAGATGTTTGTCGTGCTTATGTTTCATATACATATATACACACACTGTATACATACACCATGTCTCATAACCGGAAAATATGACTTCACCTAATAGTTATTTATATTAATATTTTATTAAAAAAATTTCCTGTTCGCAGTAATAATAACACCTATCATAATTTCAGTGAAGTACCAGCGCTAGACGCAATTTCTCACAGTTACAAAGCGAGACGGCCATTATTAAAGAGGCCAACTAATTTAAAACTCGAAGGAGATTATATCCATGTTACTGAACACGCTGAAAAGTTTATCGAGTATTTACTCTCAAGGCGGTCGGAATTATTAAAAACTCCCACAACGTTAAAATTAGAAGGAGATATGGAGATAAAGACTGAAACTAGGGAAAAATTTGTTAAATATGACGATTTTGAACGACCCACTCTCTGTAAAAAGTTATCGAACTTACATTTAGAAGGAGATTATGAGATTCTAACCGAAAAACAAGAAAGGTACCCGCCTTATGAAGTAAGCCGACGACCGCCTTTGACGAAAAAATCGACAAATTTACATTTGGAAGGAGATCTGTCTTTAATTCCAGAGTACAGAAGTCAGTTTGTCGAATATAAATCTTTAGAGAGGCCAAAATTAGCTCTTCCTAACAACAATTTAAAGAACGGAGGTATAGTAGACAATACAACAAGAGAAGCAAACTCCTTTGACAGAAAAATGCACCCGTTGATTCCCTTCCTGCGTGAACCAGACGGCAGAAGTCACGACTTTGTTGCTAGTCGAAGAACATCTGCAAGAGATTTGTATTCGAAAGGTGAAAGGTTCAGCAATTACGATACAAGCAAATCAGCATCACATCCTAATCTAACTTACATGTCACATGCAGGCACTGGCAATGCACAAGAAAACGGCACTGATGTAAAGCCTGAGTATAAAAGTTCCTATGTAGATTTTTATAAACAAGGAAGAATATCGCCCAGCGTCAAAATGATGAGGCAGTCCGAACTGAATTATTTGAAGGGTGACAATAAAATGGATGTACGACCGGAGTATAGCAGTTCCTATGTGAACTTCCCAAGACGAAGACCCCACGTGCCGAAGCCTGAATCTCACCTTTCCAGTGAAGGAGAGGTAAACTATTTATATAGGGTGTCTCAATATTCCGCAGAAACAGTAAAATAAGTGGATTTAAGTAAACTTTGCCCAAGTTGCTTTGTTTAGCCACTAGAAGGCATTAAAGTTGATAAAAAATAATTGTTTTTTTCAAATAACTTTGAAATGTAAAATTTGACTAAAATTTGGTACGTTAATACTTCCATATATAGGATGTTCCATCCAAGAAGAATTCTTCTGTAACTCTGTAACTATAAAATTTATAAAAAATGGTTTTAATAAAAGTCATGTAAAGAAAATATTTTTAGCTTCACAGGGTGTTCCATTTCGCGTGGGCGTTACATAACTTTGTTATTTTAAATGGAACACTTTGTATATTATTACGTTTTTGAATTCCTTGGTTAATATGTAGAGTTTATTAAATATACATGATGTTTAAAACTTACCGTTTTCGAGATAATCAGTTGTTTAAAAAAAATCACGATTTCAGCTCTCTAAATAAGGCTAGATAGCGTCTAAATCGTAAGAGTTAGAAACCTGCAGATTGCACGGTTTGTTTTGGCATAAATTACTCTATCTTGTCATCTATGAGCAAAACGTGTACGTTATTCAGACTTGGAAATACTGAGACCTACATTTAATAATCAGCACGTCCTTATGGCATCCAATTACACCAAGAGTTACTAAAAGTAGACTTTCAGCGGAGTTTTGTCAATGGGCACTTGAGATGTTAAACCAAGATGATGATTTTTTTAAACGAGTCATGTTCTCCGATGAGGCTACTTTTCATAAAAATGGTTTCGTTGATAGTAGTAATTGCCATTATTATGACACAAATAAACTTCACCAATTCCGGACAACTCATAGCCAATGATGGTCTTTGAACGTGTGAGGAGCAATTTTGGGAACCCATATCATTGGACCATTCTTTTTTGACCAGCATCTAATTGGAGCAGTTTATTTAAACTTTTAAACAAACACTTTAGAAGAATTGTTAGGCGACATTCCTTTAGCTACACTTGTGGATGTGGATGCAACATGATGGTGCTCCGCCTGATAATACCGCTGCGGTTCGTCAGTTTTTACACGAAACTTCTCCCAACAGATGGATTGGGCGCGGGAGACCAGTGATTTGGAATTCAATGTGTCCAGATATGACAAGTTGAGACTTTTTATGGGGATTTATAAAAAGCAAAGTTTAAGTTACACCACCAACTACTGCGGAAGATATGTGGCAGCGCATTTCAAGAAATTACGCTGACCAATGTTGAACAGTCTTTTAAAAACTGAATTCGTTTGTGTATTAATAAAAATGGAGGACACTTCGAGCAATTGATGTAAATCAGCGGTCTGTGTATGTCATTTTATGAAATAATCTGTTTATAATTTTGTCGGGGTCTATGTTGTAGCTTCTTTTTTTTTCTCATAAACATTAAGGGTTTGTTAAAGACATCTTCGAGAAAAGGGCCAGTTTCAAGTTAACAAAGGTAATGTCGGATGTCCCCTCGTCAAGATTGTGGCAGCGGAAATTCTATAAATTATAGAAGAGAACCCGGCAACCAGATTAATACAGAGGCAGAATATAGATTCCATAAGTACAATGAATGGTAATCTCTAAAAGACTAAATTCATCTTTTTCATGTTCAACCAATTCGCTCTTCATTTCTGGCAGATCATTCGCCATAGAGAGCCATATAGAGCTGGAGATATAAACTTCTACAAGAAAATTCTTATCCTGGAAGAATCGTGTTTTGCGAAAAGTGGGATGAAAATCCCCATGTCGTTATGGAAAGGCATATTCAGCTCGAATTTACATAGTATAAACGCATGGATTGGTTTTATCAGTAACTTTCTGCTTAGTCCAATCAGATTATCAAATCGTTTCGATGGCAATAGTTGTGTAGATTTTCACTTGGTCACCACGTTCACCTGACTTAAATCCCTGTGATTTTTTTATTCGAGGGGCTCTTAAAACAGAAAGTGTACTTTGTAAGTATTGATAGTGAGAGAAAATTGTTGAATAAGGTTCAAGATGCTGTTCACAATTTACAGAATGAAGGAATACTGAGGATAATGCTTTCTATTTCATCCGTAGAATTAATTTAGATATTACAGAAAATGGCAGACATATTGAACAGTTCTTATCATCCTGTAGCATGATTCGTGGCAAAATTATGAGCAGATTAGGTCAAGTGAGGGGGTATTTGTCACAGTCCTGTTAATCCAGTTACTTCGTTTACTATGTCATAAAGTGACATCTATATGGAAGTATTAGTGTACCAAATTTCAATTGCCCTATAGTGGGTAAGCGAAGCAACATAGAATAGAGGTAAGTTTAGTTAAATCTGTTTATTTTGATCAGCACGAAATTGTGGTAGCTCCATACATAGGTACGGAAAGTTGGGACACTCTGTATGTTTAGTGATAAGGTATGTCTGTCCGTTAGTACTACTAATGTTTATTGAAAATATGATAGTAAAGTTATTGCAGATTTGAAAAGATCAGATATTGCTTGTGCACAAGTGGAACTAGATTTGGTACATTTTAAATGAATTTAAAAGAATAAAACAATGCGTTTAATATTCTACAAGTGTGCAGCTAATTCACATTCCCAGAAATACTACGAGACAACTAGTCATCTTTTTAAATTATAAATTTTTAATAAATTTAATTTAATAATTTAATTAATTTTTAAATTATTAATAATTAATTAATCAAATTAATTAGTTAATTAATTTTTAAATTATAAATAAACAAACGAATTTTACAGGAAACTCATAAACACAACATAAAAAAAACAACATCAACAATATCAACAATCAAAGACAACAGTTATTCAGTCTATGGAGAACATACAAAGATATACTCGTACCTCCAATTTTTTGCATAGATCCATCTGAATACTTACTCACATTTTTAATATAGATCACCGGTGGATATCTGTTCAATGTTTTTTTATTGAGATACTATCTTTAATCTTTGCTGCATTCTAATCTAGAACAAAGTTTAGTTAGGTACTCTTAAGTGACAACAATGATGATTTGTCTTGGTTATTAAACCGTAATGAAAAATATGTGTAGTTTGTAGAAGTAGAAATTTGGATAACAACGTAAAAATATGAACGGACACCCACAATGGTTCGATAAAATTTTACCTTCGAAATGAGTAATATACATGATATTTTTAAAATATGTTACCTAATAGAAACAGAACAGATAAAATATAATTTTTAAGTAAAAAGTTTAGTTGTAATAATATGTAGTAGAATCAGATCTACTTGTTTAGAGTATTACAAGATTGCACTCGTTATAAATTCATAAGATTTAATTCATTATTAAATACGATTTCATCTACACTGACGTTTGCAGCGCGATCTAATGACAGTAGGGAATTGTATGTAAATGGACTTTACCTTTCTTGAATAATTAGTAAACAATTAGAAAGTTATTTAATGAAGAAACACTTTACATTCCCTTAGACTTACCACATCACTGAAAAAAGCGAAAAATACTACCCACATACTCACATACCGAGAACCGAAACGTGTAAGAGGGAGCCAGAATTAAAGCTAGAAGGACATTTCGAATGCCAACCCGAATACAGAAAGGCATACATTGACTACTTAATTAGGGAAAGGAAACCCCCTGCATCTCGGAGAAGGGCCTTCGCGGTAGTGGATACTAATGGGGATGCATCCGATTTGACTAAAGATGACACAAGGTAAGAATAATCCACTAAATTTCCATTTTATAGTGGAAAGTGCAAAGTATACTTTTATGATTCGTAGCGTGAAACTATAATTATAAATATCAGAACCGTAGACTCCAAGCCACGTGACTGCCGAGCTTAGGCAACCAACAATACACCACTGGTACTGTCAAATAAAAATCCCTAAATCTTAGCGTCGCCAATATTGATGATTAGCTTATCTTAACGCTACGGGTCATAAACGTATGCTTTGCAACCTTGATAAATAAATATTTCTTTTGTGTTTATAAGCATATACAGCTATGCAGTTCAGTAAGTGCAATTTCCGTGGTACTCAAAACTACGTATGAATACAGAAAAAGTATTCCATCCATGAATACATAATATTCTGTTGGAATAAAAGTAAGATTACTTGAATCCAGAATACTTGTATTCAATATTCACATTATACGAATACAATGCTGAGTACTTAGGTTAGAAGTTGAAAACAAAAAGAAACTATTGCTGCATCAACGTGTGATATCAGAGATATCATAATTAGTTATGACAACGTTTTACCAGAATACTCTAAATATAATATAGAGACATAAAATGATTCTCGAGTATTCATTAGTAGTTGGGTATTCATGAATACTTTTCTGTGTACTGAATCCTGAATACCCTAAAAATGAATGAACATGAATACTGAATGTATTCAATACTCAAAACTGATTTCATCAATATGGTATCGAATACTACTCATGAATACATTATACTCGACTAATACTCAGCTATGTACTCGTACTTAGCAGAAGTAAATTGTAAACTTTGCAAGGTATAAATACCGGTTGTTTACATATTATTTTCTTCAGTGAAACAGATACGGTTCGAGAAAACGAAGGGCTCACTCTACAAGTGCCCACCGGATCAAAATCAAACGCACAGGCTTCAGCTGCTTCTAAAGACTCCTCCTCTTACGCATCTAGTATCCGTTCGTCACCGAGATTATCGACAGGCGTTCAACGAAACAGAAAACTTTCGCAAATCGAGACGAAGGTTTTCGGTCCAAAAACTAGGGAATCCGTTACACCGTCACCAATTTTACGGCACGGAAGGGAAAACCAGTTAAAACCGATAAGAGATTCCTCTCCTCGACCTTCAAAAGAACACTCACCAAGATTTTCTACGACTAGGAATTCAGACCTAAATAAAGAAGTATCTTCACCCGACGATCGTAAGTGGAGCGCTTCTGTCGAATCAGATGCGGCTTTTCTGGTTTTGGACGAAAAAGTGCCCAGCAAGAGAGTAGCTGCCAATAATTTATATAAGGAACAGAAGTGGATGCCTTCCTGGAAGTACTAAACTACATATTTCTTTATGCCTTTTCTGTATATTTTTAATTATATCTTGTTTAGTGAAAATATAGAATGGCATGTTATTTTTATAGAGTTTGGATATGCGGCTCGTAGAGAGTCCTACTCGTTTCACTTTCTCAGTTTCCATTGTAGCTGTTTACTAGTTTTTGGCCTTTTTGAAGGATGTTCAACCACAGACACATTTGTCCCCTAAACCAGTACCTGAATGGGGTATCTAGTTATAAGGCGTAGCATATTATGATAAATATTTTGATGGCATGAAGAATGTTATTTATTGCTCGAGTCCAACTTACTGCTTTTGTTATTCATAATAATTCGCGGTTACAAAAAAATAACAGGGTTTTTAAGAATTTCATAATTATTAAGTACCTAGCACTTACTTTAATTTTCCAAAATACGTCCCTGTCTAGATTTATCTGCGTGTAATTGTTTACTTCGTTGGAATATGTAAAGTGACTGCAGTGCAGTTCACCTAAATGAAGTCAATGTCAAATCATTGACACTGACTTTCACTGTCCTAAAATAACTAAAAGTACATTTTATTGAAAACGTGAAATGATTATGAAAAACACCAAATCTATTAGATTAGTAAGTATTTTCATAATTTTTTTATTATATACACACGAGAAAAATAATTGTTTTAAAACATATATGAATTTTATTTATTAGTAACGTATACCAATATTAGTTAATATTCTAGTCAATCATGGAAAAATTATAAATTTTTTAAAAACGCTCGAAAGTTATCTCAATATTCGACGCTTCATCGGCATCGACATAAAAAAGTAACTGCAAAAACAACTATTAAAATATTATTTTTCATTGCAATTTCGCTCTTTGTTACTCCATATAGTTGGTTTAAAAAGATAACTGGCAACACAGCTAAGCGCGCACACATATCCGCTGCCGAGTATAAATCAGTGGCGGCGTAAAAAGAAATTTAAGTGCGTTTTAACAAACGAATTATAACACGACTACTTATTTAATTATTATTTTATTTGAGATTAGTATCCCGAGTAACACATATTATTATCCCTAAAAAACTAAACTCCGCTTAATGTTACACCGTCTATACTCTGACAGCTCAGTCAGTTTTGCGAGAAAAGGAAAGGAGCGTTGGAAAAATATTTTGGGAAAATATGACCAAACAATAATAACAGCCCTACAAAAAAAGTGGGAGGTCCGAAAGACAAGACCATGGTACCTATATGTTTTTGAGGTCGCTGAATTCGAATCCCGTCTCCGTTAGATCCGATCAGGTCTGGGTTAAGGTCAGTTAAGGTCAAATGTAGGGAATCAATTGCCATCAATGTAAACCTATGTTTCTATACGCTTTTGGGGTCGCTGAAGCCGAACTGGGGGTCCATATGACCTGATCAGGTCAGGGTAAAATTTGAGAAATAAATAAGATTAGAGAAATAAAGCTTTAACTCTGAGCCTGTGACTCTCGAGTTAATTGTTTTCACATGACAAAATTCAATAAATCTAATTAAGTAAGCTTTAAACCAATGCGTTAGTTAATGCTGCATGTACATTAATTTACACAAATATCCATTTTACTCTCAGTAGTTACTATAAATGATAGTGGAAAAGGTCGAAATTTCACTACAGAAAACTTAGAAAGTCTCGTAGTCTTGTGTTGTATATGTAGCCAATAAGACTTTTATATATTTCCTTAACTTTTATATTTAGCGTTGTGTTGTCACATATTTTTCGAGAACTTGATTTTATTTGTATTAGTAAACTAAGTCCGGTTCTGTTATGAGCCGCATATCCCCGAACTCCAATTACTAGATCATTTTCAACGTAATTCTGAAAAAGAGAAGGAATTTGAGTTATTGCATTATCTCATTTATTTTTAACTTTAGCGCGTACACGATCATAAACAAACTTGTATGGAACAATATACCCTACAACTTTGGTGACTACGCTTTCAATACGGCAGACTGGGAGAAAGTAACCTGCTAATAAACAAATAGTTAGATCATTCTGTGGCAAACTAATGAGAATTGATAGGTTCGGAACCGGTATATGTGTTCTACTGACGAATAATCTTGGGTTGTTTACTAGATATTGTATATTCAATCTTGATCGGATCATGAGTCCATAGAGTAACTGTTTCCTATAATCTTACTCAAAAGCTTTGTTTCGCTTAGTGCGATATTGGTCTTGTTTTCATAGTACTTGCAGGCCGTTCTCTGCCAGTTTGGCCATATTGAAGGTCTGGGCTAGTAATATAGACCATTTAAGATGTAACAAAATCTGTATGTTATGTTAAAATTTGCCAGAGTTTGTCTTTTGTGCTATACATATTTAGATTTCGTGGGTGCAACCAATAAATAATTAGGTATTAGTTAATATAATGTTAATGTAATTTTTTTAAAGTCCTAATTAAAGTTCATTTATGGTGTTAGATTATCTACATGTGTTTTTTTGTAATAAATTAAACACAAAGGTCCTGTTAAAGTATAACTTTTAAGACTAAGGCTTTCCATGTGATGTTCCATTAGGTAGGATTAATTTACTTTAGACCTGATTGGTTATAACTTGAACACAAAATTTTTCCTCGTTTTTAATTACACATTGTTCATTATGAACTCTTGTACTTACTAACTCTACTCTCTACTCACAGTCCAAAATATTTTTTATAAATTCTCTTGAAATGAATTTATAGAGACTGATTTGCAAAAACATGTCATAATTTCAGGGGTTGGTATAACTTCAATATCAAAACAGAGACATTTTTTGTCAGGACTTTTATATTCTGAGGAATCGTGTAGCCTAAAGCCGGCTTCAAACGATACGGTCACTTGCCAAATATTTACCAAATGTAAACAAATCATCAAGGACCAATGAATTATCAAGAATTCCAGAATGTGCGTAAATTTGTTGGAGTACACATCTTTGTCTTTGTAAACAAATGCCATATCGTGTGAATGGTGCATATCGAAAGCACGTCTTCACTTGTCAAACGTTACTCTAAAGCTATGCAAATGGCAGGTCATTTGGACTATTTAACATATGAGGAAACTATCTGTATTCATAAAAAATTGGCAAGTGTACACATGCAGACAATTGGCAAACATAAACAGATATTTATGCCTATATTACAAAACATTACATCGTGTCATGATACAATATGGCACTGTAGATTTTAACCAAATAATCCTCAAATAGTTGATATATTTATGTTTGACGAATTTTTTAAAAGACGAAAGAAATATTTAAGAAAACAAAAGTTTAACGTTGAATGTCTCGTAAAGGAAAGAGAATGCTCGATAGGAAAAAAACCCTGAAGTTATGGTAGGTTTTTTCAAAACATCTTGTATAATATATAAAACAATATTCATCTATTGTTATTTTTTTCTATACCTAGTCTTGTACTGCTCTCTGCATCTTCTTTATTGTGAGTCACAACTGATAAAAGTATGACAAAGATTAAGGGGCTGTCTCAGGTATCAGATTAATACTGTAACTGCAAGAATCAGTGCCTGAAATAGGTTATGTAATTTTTTTTAGTTTCCCGGACGTATAAAAATATATTTTTTATATTTAGAGATGTAATATGTAATAAAATTGTTTGTATTTTTAGATTTAAGGTAGTAGTTCATGCTCAGGTTAAAAAATAATGTCGTTTTTAGTATTGCCTTCGATGTTTAGGGGTCACAAAAATTATTAATGCATTATTCAGTGAAGCAATATTTATGCTCAAGAATATTAGAATTTAAAAAAGTACAACCTGCTTGTATGGGGTCTGTACCTACTATAACCGTAACCCTCTCAAAATTACAAATATATTTCAGTTTTTCGTGGACTAGAAGTATTGTTTGAGTTTCCAATTTCATGTTTCCATCTGACGCAGGGCCGTCTTTTCCCATAGAAAAACCAAATAACCTCTACATTTGAACCTTTTTTAAAGTACTTTGAAAAACCTTTAAAATTAGCTGTTTTAAAAGTCTTTAGAATCAAAATTAACGGAAATATGGTCGAAATAACATGATAGTATTATTTTTTGAAGAAAAAAAAAAAACAAATCAGTGCCTTTGGCGACAGAATTAAAATTAAATGCAATTAATTTACAGATTTCTTCATTTATGTTCTAAGAATATCTTCTGGGTCTTTGCCTCACTTACAAAGCATGATTTCGAAAAAAAATTAATTTTTGAAAATGTTAATCTTTCAAATTTTTGAAAAAAAATCGATTTTTACGCTGTAACTTATAAATTAAAGGGTGTACGAAAAAAAATACAAGAGTAAAAAAAAATTAGCTTTATTTTTGCTGAAGATTTTGTTTAATTTTTTTATTACTTACTCTAAAATTAATATTAATCGAGATATCGCCATTTTAAGTTCTCATATGAATGAGAGAACCACCCTTTTCGAGCCCTTTAAACCCTTCAAACTTAAAAATGAAGGGCTTAAAAAAGATCAATTCAACAGTTCACGTAGCCCTTATAATTCCCTGCAAAATGAGCCTTTGTGCGATTAAAAATCTTAAAAAGTAAGAAAGTTATCGTCAAAAAAATAATCACGTGTACAGGTAATAATTTAAGAAAATTTAGGTCAAACAAGAATATTGAAGCATTTAGACCTTTTTTGTATATAGGTATACGTATTTAGTATGTGAATATTCGAATAAACCTATATTATAACTACTATATTATAATAAGGGAATAAATAATGTTTATTTAATACGAATGCACATTTAAAATGTTTTTACTCTTTCAATAATATTGATTCCATTTTATTTTCGAAAGAAGGGGTATCTTTCAAAATTTTTTAATCAAGAAATCAATTTTAATTTGATAAAAATGCATGATTAACACGTTTCAAGTTGAAAAAAAAATATATAATTTTCATCCAAAGGGGTGGTTTTTAAAGGTTTTTCCGGGTTGAAAAATTGGTATACATTAAGTTTCATGTTAGATAGCACATGAAATTACTCATACTGCACAAATAAAAAAGATTTGATTACATAAAATGCTTAAATTTGTATATTTTCTTTTTTTTTCCAATGAGGGGTGGTTTTCACACCTTAAGAACAAAAAGCACACCCAGCGCATAGACATATAAGTTTTGAAGTGGGGGGTAAGATGAGCCTAATTCTAAATTTTGAGAAAAATCCATGCAGTTATAAATAATTCGGAGGTATTACTATATTTTCAGCTACAGTAACTGGGCTATTAGTCAAAAGGTTTATAAAATCGACCACCTACCGAATCTGTTTGCTATAAAGGGTTATTTATTTATAATTTTCTCTTTTCAATGTGGTGGAAAAAGATAAGAATAAAACAAGAAGAAGAAGAATGAAAAAGAAGAACGAGAATAAAAAAAATACCACGAAGATCCAAATTGCTATTTTTTGTTCTTTCTTTTAGTCTTATAATGTGGGATGCCAGACATATAGGGTGTCACCTAACGAATGTTACATACTTCAGGAGTATAATCTAGAACCCAAATGGTTCGATTTAACCAAACTTACTTAAAGAAATTTCGCAAAAAAAGTTACAGGATGTTAAAGTTTCTTTTTTATCTCTTGTTTTCTCCTTAACTCAGAACCCAGTTACCCGATTTGAGCAAAATTTGCTGTTGCTTAGTTTCTCTTCAGGAAGTATACAGTGATTATGCTCCTATTAGGTTAAATCATACAGGGTGTTAATTTTACTACAACCCTTTATGAATATTCTTCTGTGACTTTTTTGTACGATTAAATTTTTACACGCAACTAGCAGAAATAGGTAGATACTTTTATTCTATACAAAAAATGTAACCTATCAAATGTTGAATTTATGCTCGGTTAGGAAGATATTACAGAAAATATTTATTAACACACACCCCATATGTTTTTGGAAAAAACTAAATTTGGTTAAATCGCACCATTTGGGTTTTAGATTATATACCCTTGAAGTAACATTCGTTAGGTGACACCCTGTATAAGTCTATAGTAAATTTTGCTATGAAATACATTTTTCAGCGTTTTAATATTTTATGACCCCTCTAAAAGTATAATATATTTATAAGTTGAATAACATTTATTATTTAATAAATATACCTATATATGTAAATAACTACTGACTTTTTCATTTTACTGTCCTGCATCTAAGAATTTAAATGTACTTCGTATCTCATTAATAACAACTGTAATTCAAAACATAAAAATTTATTTTAACAAGTGTAATATTGTTGTTAGCAAAATTGTATAAAAATGATTTAGTTTTGTCTTTGAATTTTACTGGAAAAATTAATAGGAAACAAATGGTTTTACTCCATATGTCTCGTAAATTTCAACCCATTTGCTGTACGAAAATTCCCTAGGATTTACTTTTATTTCCAGATTCTCATCAATGTCTATGTAATTATACGTGTCCTGTGTTACTTTAGGCCAAATTAGATACTGATTCAATTCCGACGCTTCCGGAGTCGGATTCCTGCGGAATAAAACCGATTATTTTTATCGCCGTTACATTCATTGGAGTTACTTACAAGGTTTTAACGAAATTTGCGAAAAAACCAACGTATCGGTCCAGAGTCGTGATGTCCGATTGTGGATATGAATTCAAATCGCCTTTGTCAGATGCCCAAAGGTATTTAGTGTCCTCAGCGTGTGCTACTCTACCAATACCTAAAGTTAGAGGAAAAATGATTCAGATAAAACATAATAACAGTTTTTAAATAACCCCCTACGCCAAAGGGAATCGATGAAGGGTTGAATTTATAAATTTAGTTTCCCTTAACCAAATGTATGAGAAGGAACCTTAAATCTTCTTTTATTTCTTTTTAAATAAGTATCAAATTTTCTGATTTAGTTGGAGCTGCATCTTCCAATAAAATCTCATAAAACTTACAACTTACGACAAGGATTGGTCGTGATTTAAAGTTTAGAGAACAAAATTGCAGTATAAACAAAATCAGAAGAATATTTCTTATTTTTTATGATAGGTTGGAAATAAAATGATGTCATGGTTACTTTGAAGCGACAAAGCAGCAAGGATATGTCATGGATTCTCTTGAACAGAAAATCAAGATCGAGAAGACAATTTTTGAACAACAACGATACTGATGCTATCTCTACTACTGTTACGAAATGAGTTATACAATTTTTGGCATCCTGCAGGACTACATTACCTTCCATCGATGCGTTGTTGCCTCCTAGTAGGCCATGGTAAGAGAACTGGTAAAAGTAGACATCGGTGTATTTCGACTGCAACTCTGCGTATTTGACGACTGCTCTTACATAACTGTTATCACTGAAATACTGTAGGAAAATTGTATTAATAATTATTCAAAAAATGTACAGAGTGGATCGTTTTTCATTTCTGAGCACTGGCGTCTTGTAACCGTAAGAGATACGAGTTAGATTAATTAGAAAAAAAGTGTTAGTTGGCACTGTTGCTTGGTTTAAACAGAATTGCTTTTGCTTTTGATGAAATATTCGCTCAGTTCTTTGGTAATTGAATAAGAAAATTTAGTAAGACTAGATAAACAGTGCCAATGGTTGAACTATTTCCGGGTAGATTGCCACATCGTCGGTTTAGACTTCTTCTCGTCTCGAAAGACATACTGCTCTCTTCATTAGAAGAAACTCTGAAACTGAAGACTAAGTTCTTAAGCCACTGGCCTGTGACGTTCCAGTCCTTAATTTTTGCGAATTGGTCGCTTCCAAATTTCAGGTAGTCCTTTGCCTCGACTGAAATTATGTCGATTTTTCTGGATTTCCATTGTTTGCCTGTAGAGTTTTAGTAAAAATCTTCTCCATCTAACAGAATTCTGGTTAAGTGGTCTCTTATCTGTATTGTGTCTTGTATTCTACAACTCCTTTTTTCTACGTTGTTATGATGCAACTGCTCTTGTGCTTCTTTAATCTCGTATTGACCTGTCTTTTCGACTGTTCAACTTTTCCAGAAATACACATGCTGCATACTGGGGCCTAGGAGAAGATCGTTTTTTCGAACACGCCTCCATTTATTTATTATTGAATTTATTCCATTTGGCTAATACACACTGTATATAGGGAAGATAAATGATAAATATTCTTCTTTTTTTTGTCCTTGAGTGTCTTTCTAATGACTATATCGATATTCCTATTCGTGTATCTATTCAATCAACGCACATAGTAAATATATACAGGGTGGTCAAATGAAAACGAAACAGAGCCATTTTCAGGAACTGCGTCAAGATTGTAGAAAAACGCTCAGACCCGTAATTTTAGATTAAAGGGGGACATTCTTTGCTGGTATTTCTGATTCCGCACTTTCACCCCCAAGCAAGGGTAAGCATCACCCCAAAATATTTAAATGGCATTGAGGGTTGAGTAATATTTCTTTTGAAAGCTCTTACAATTCTCTTTACAACAGACTTTAAGTTTTATAATTCCGCGCAATACTTATTAAGAATTTTTATTTTAAAGTTGAAACTTATGTACAAACAATTAGTAACGGTAAAAATGTCAGTCATTCGAGTTAAGTACGCCAATGGTATAAATTTAGTATTTCTTGCGTTACATTGGTTTTTGGCGATTTGTTATCACTTTCGTAAAAAAAACACAATGAAACAGAAATGAATGCTATACACACACAATGAACGTAAAATTAGTGGATTCCAAATTATTTTCTAGTATTATTTGGAAGCGTTGGTAGTTTATTTAATTGTGTTTTTGAAAATTAAACACTATGGTTTATTCCATTGCGGAAAGAGCAGATATCATTTCGCTTTACTTTATGAACAATAAATGTGCGAATATAACAGCTCCGCTATTTAATGAACAACATCAAGATCGACATGTCTGGAGGAAGTATGTTCTAAAATTAGTAAAAAATTTCAAGAGACAGGGAACGCACCCAATAGAAAACGAGAAGTTGAAAAACCTATAGTTAATGAAGCTAGTGAAGTTGCAGTTTTGGGACAAGTTCATTTTGATCCTACATTAAGTACGAGGCAGCAGGCATCTGTGTCTGGGATCAATCGAACTAGCAAACAAACCATTTTGAAGAAGAATAAATTCATACAAAATACATTTAGTCCAGGAACTTTATGATGATGATTATGACCGCTGTTTGTAATTTTGCGAAGTAATGTGTGAGCTAGCAGGGAACGATTCACAGTTCCTTTTTAACATCTGTTTTTCTGATAAATGCAGTTTTTCACGAGGTGCATACACAGCAACCGGAAAATTTAAATGTATGGGCTGGAATTTTCGATAACCGGCTGATGGGTCCTTTTTTCTATCTGGTAATTTGACTGACCAAATGTATTTGTAATTACTGGAAGACGCTATTGACCCTGCCTTGACCGATATTATTGAAAATGTTTCAGAATATGATGAATATCATTTGATTTTTCAACAGGATGGTGCTCCTCCGCATTATGCGTTAATTGTCCGTCAGTACTTGGACCAATGTTTTCTACGGAATTGGATTGGGAGAAGAGGCAGCATTGAGTTGCCTCCACGGTCGCCGGATTTATCGTTCCTTGATTTCTTTTTGTGGGGATACCTAAAAAGTAAAATCTATAAAACACAGCCAGCGTCGCTGGAAGATTTGCGTCAAAGAATCGTCGACAAATGCCGTCGAATCACTCCGGAAATGCTTCGGAATGTGTGCGAACGTTTCGAACAAAATCTTTATTCTTGTATGGAAGCGGTCATTAGTTTGAACATTTAATCAACTAAGTAGTAAGTAACCAACTAAACATAATTTAAATCTTAAAATGTAAATACTTTAAAAGTATTGGGCGGAATTATAAAATTTAAAGTCTGTTGTAAAGAGAATTGTAAGAGCTTTCAAAAGAAATATCACTCAACCCCCAATGCCATTTAAATATTTTGGGGTGATGCTTACTCTTGCTTGGGGGTGAAAGTGGCGAGGTCAAAAATACCAGCAAAGATATCCCCCTTTAATCTAAAATCGACGGGTCTGAGCGTTTTTCTACAATCTTGACGCAGTTCCAGAAAATGGCTATGTTTCGTTTTCATTTGGCCACCCTGTATATATCAGCCAGAGGAATTAATCTCCAGTTTCAAAGTTTCCTCTGAAGGGAAGAAGAATATGTCCTTCAAAACGTCAAGAAATCTAGACCGACGACGTGGCAAGCAGCTCAACAACAAAATACCGTAGTACATAAATAATAAAAATATGTCAAATCCTGTTGATGGTCGTATACCTGAATTGCTGCTGTTAAATTATCTTGCAATAATCCTTCAGTGTATATTTTTCTTATCTCTTCGGCAGCCTGTGTACGTACATTTGTATCTTCAATTCTCATATCTTCATCAGCTAACAGATAAACGTATTTCTCGTAATTTCTGACGGTTTTCTGCAGCCCTTCTAAGTCTGTAACATAATAATTTTGATTAATATACATTGTTCTACGGATTTAATTTAATGATTTACCAGCGGCTTTTGCTATTTGTTCTTCTGAATTAATGCCTATTAGGAGAGGGACGTAGTTAATCTTTCCGTTTGCGACAGATTCGTACATGGATTCGGTTATAAAAGCTCCTTCATGTTCTACTTCTACAACTGGTGCATACGACTAAAAATAACAGTAATTTGATTGGATTAATTGTATCCAAAATACAATTTTTGTAAAATTCTGTATCTGCAGGTTAAGTATTAGAATACGAGAATGGATAAAACAAAATTGGAGCCGTTGCAAGCGTTTTCCATGTCCTAGTTACGAATTTCTATTGTTGGAAATCATTTCAGGATCTCTTTATAAGCATATCTTACCTATTCTTTACCTAATCGAAAGTGGTGGAAATGGCTTTTATTATTATTCCCAGCATATTTTAGTTTAGCAATAAAAATTAGGTTTTTTTTTTGTTGGCACTCAGGTCACTGATAAAAATTATTAAATTTCGTTTTTTGGTCGTTGCTTAGAAACAAAAACAATACTGTTGTAGCGTGACATTTTCACAAATTAGTATGTTATATAACCTTAATAAACTTAGCAAAATCACTGAACTTTTTTGGAGCTTAGAGAGAATGGCACATTTAACTAAACGTGAAAGGATAGAGATCTTAATGATGGTTGGATATGGTGATAAGCTACGAACCCATGCGGAAGCATGTAACCTGTTTAATCAAACACATGTTGACAGACCACCAATTGCACGATCTACGGTGAGTAAATTGGTCGACCTCAAATCGCCGAAGAAACTAAGTTAAATGTATTGCTGGAAATTGAAGAAAATCCCCATCAGTCAACAAGACAACTAGCCCTAAACAACAATGTGGACCAATCATATGTTGTAAAGTTGCTTCGTACAGAAGTATCATGGATATAAAGTCGTAAAGAGACCCAGGTGACAGAGAGTACTAATAACACAACTAAAAAAAAAGTTCTGTACCATAGCCATAAGTGTCAGTGTCAGTGTGGTGGATAAAAAAATAATGCATACTTACGTGATATTTGTCAGCAGTGTTATCTATAGCTTTGGCATCCACGCTCTGCAAAAACTGTAAAAGATCACTAGAAGTACGACTTCTGTCAAAAGTGGCGTCTATCTCAGCTGCTACACCATAAGCTATGTCCACTGCATGTCGTTGGTTGGCCCAAGAACATAGAGCTGAACCACTTTCTCCTATAGCGGCTCTAAATAGGCCTAAAACAATTTTAGTGGTTTATAATGCAATACAAAATAAGTCAAATAGCATGTTCGTGTTAGCATTAGATATAAGTTCAAGAGCGATGTTCTAACAAACCAATATCACTCGTGTGCTTCGTAATTATGTCTTCAAAAAACGGCCAAATAGACATATTTAGGGAAGTGTATTTGTAAACCAACATCTACACCAAAAAAACTTTATCTATGGAGCCGAAATCGCGATAGAAACAGCCTCTTTTGCTGATAATAAATTAATTACCTGCAGATCCCGGACTTAACACTTGATACGTGACTGAAGCCGCTCCGGCACTTTGTCCTTGAACGGTAACTTTTTGAGGATCTCCCCCGAATAGATGAATATTCTCCTGAATCCATTTTAAAGCGAACTGTTGGTCTTTGAGACCCATATTACCAGCGATCACAGAATCGCCAGTGGATAAGAAACCTATTAAAGTTAAAAATTAAACTTATACGGATTTAGTTTTAGTGGAAAATAAAATAGGCATTAGAAGTAACTTACCAAAAGGACCTACACGATAGTTAGCAGTAACGACAATCACATCTTGTTCCAAGAAATATGTTGGTCCGTTGTAACCGAATCCAGCGTAACCGTGGATGTAGGCCCCTCCATAAATACTGTACATTACGGGTAAGTTAGCATTGCTGCCAGGTTCCTTAAAAGTAAAATTGTTGGGAAAGTCTGCATCAGCAACTTACGGATTTACTTACAACAGGCGAGTAAACGTTTAAATATAGACAATCTTCTGTTTCCAAGGTAAAATCTCTACCTACTTGGTAACATATTTTCGTATTCGTTTTTGCTTCTAAGACGCCGTCCCAACTTTGAACTGGTTGTGGTGGCTAGAAAAAATAGTAATAATAAAATACGACAGATTGTTAGCAATATACAGGGTGTTTTAGGATTAAGTCGACAAACTTGAAGGAGATATTCCGCACAAAAAATAAGAAACAAATCAAGTATTCATTTTTTTCCAGAGACGCTTCATTTCCGAAATATAGGGCGTTAAAGATTTTTAAAAAAATTCGAATTTTTTAAATAACTTCTAAATTAAGAAGGCTATTTAGGCCAAACTTGGCATGACACATCTACTTATTAGAAACCAATTTTCCATAAACTTAGAAGTCTCGCCCAAGCAACCAGTGGCGGAGTTATGGGGACTCAGACTCATTAAATTATAAAAACAATATGGCCCTACTGAAAATAAAAAATGATGCTGTTTTTAGATAGAACAAAAAAGTGTACATTCACTTTTTTCCTAACTCTCGTAGTTTCATGACAAAATTGATTTTTCGGAAGGGTGCTTCTGGATTCTGTCGATAAACTTTAATATGAACCTCAACAAAAATTTTCGAGTACAGTTGGTTTCAACTAGATGGCTGTCCTGCCCATTTTGGTAGAGGTCCTAGGGAGTGGTTAAACATTAATGATCCCAGGAGATGGATTGGTCGTGGAGGACCTGCAGCGTGGCCCACACGTTCACCGGACTTGACACCGATGGATTATTTCGTTTGGGGTGCTGTTAAACAAGAAGTCTACGAGGTGCCAGTTGATACCCTAGAAGATCTAAGACAAAGAATAGTCCAAGCGTGTCGAGAATTAACTCCAATTCAGTGTCGATCGGCCACTACCTCCGTAATTAGAAGATGTCGTGCTTGTCCACAGTCCGGAGGCGCCCATTTTGAACAAAATATTTTTTTAATCATTTCATTTTTGATTTACTTTTCGCTTTGTCTAGGTATAATATTAATTTTAGTCGTTTCAAATTACAAATAAATGTTCATGTATTGTTTGCCATCTTATTTTATTTAAAAGTACACAACACAAGTAAATGAAGTGACTACAAACCGCCTCAAAAAATTTAGGAGTATTGCAAGGGTCGTTACGTTGTCGCATTACGACATAGTCACATTAGATGTTTGGTACTTAAATATTTCTATTGTTTTCATCAACATATTTTTTTTTAAAAAAACACACTATATCTCAGAAACGAAACATCTCCTAAATAATTTTAATACTATTGGTTAAACCCAAGGGAAAGGGGAGACAAAAAGGCTTATTTGACACACACATACCCGAGAACGAGACTAAGACCAATTTTTATAGGTACTATATATTTTTAGGTTTTATGAGGAACGTCTTCCTAAAGTTTATCGACAGAATCCAGAAGCACCCTTCCGAAAAATCAATTTTGCCATGAAACTATAAGAGTTAGGAAAAAAAGTGGATGTACACTTTTTGTCAATAACAATCTGTTCTATCTAAAAACAGCATCATTTTTTATTTTCAGCAGGGCCGTATTAATTTTTTTTATAATTTAATGAGTCTGAGTCCTTATAACTCCACCACTGGCTGCTTGCGGGACTTCTACTTCTATGGAAAAATGGTATCTCATAAGATGTGTCATGCCAAATTTGGCTTAAATAGCCTTCTCCATTTGGAAGTTATTTAAAGAAATTCGAATTTTTTTAAGAATCTTTAACGCCCTATATTTCGAAAATGAAGCGTCTCTGGAAAAAAATTATACTTGATTTTTTCTTATTTTTTTAATGAAGAATATCTCCTTAAAGTTTGTCGACCCTGTATATGTATATATTACTAAAAATGTGTTCGCGCTATTGAAAATTTTGTCGTCTGTATGAGAGATTCGATACACATCAATAAACACAGTTTGGAGTAATCATATTGATCAGATATTGAAAAAAAAAACAAACGTAAGGAACTTACTTGGAATCTTAAATTTCCTACTGGAGGAGCAGCGAATGGAACGCCAAGAAAGGCATAAAAGGTTTTCCCTTCTCTTAAAGTAGTTTTTACAGCACCACGTATTTGTCCACTTGGTAAATTGACGATGGGATCATCTGCAAACTATGTGTTGGTGTATAGAATAATGTGACAGTAATTAGTTTATGCAGCAGAAGTAGTTTATGAAAATGTAGTATTGAAAACTCTCGAAAGAAGGCGTTGTGGTAGTCACATTTGTAAACATATGTTTTTAAAGTGTAATTTGTAAATATATTTTTTTTAAGAGAGGTCATATTTTTTTACATTTTTCCGTTGGATAATGTTCTAATTATTTTAAGCTATTTTAGTGTATACGAAAAGCATTAGAAAATTTAGCGCTCTAATCTACTTTATAAGTTAGCTAAAAAAAGATTTAGGTAAATGACAGTAAAATTGAACTCGTTTGCAAGCTCCCCTTGGCTAGGTCTAGGCTTACAATATTCACATCTCTTTTAATTTCAATAGTCCGTATCGCGCCAATGATATGTTCTACAATTTATTTTTATATGAACTTATATTTTTAGAATGAACAGTTGTTGCAGTTTATTTTTGTTTTGTTTTTGGTATCATAACAATTACTATAAACGATCAAAAATTTGTAGATATGAAAATTAAACATGTATTTAAAAAATTAAAAAAAAATCTTTTGATAAATTACAATATTATAAACATATCCATAAGTTCTGTATATAATGTAATTAAAGTGCTAAGCTTTAACGGCAAATCACGAATTAATAAAAAAAAAGTTCCTATAAACATTTTATTAATTATAAAAAAAAGCTGAAGATTGCATTCAACTATTATTATGAATATTTATCACGTTGTAAGTACTTACCGCAGAAGAAATGCTTAAAATGAATATTACAAACACCAACATGATCAAATATAAAGTTGTAAACTCCCGTGATGTAAAATATACTCTTCCTTATATATGTGAGTGTCGATTATAGATATTTTTACAATTTGATGATATAAATCTTTTTCTATTCTATTCATTTGGAGTATGTGTAGATTACAAACGTAAACAAAATACTTTCAATAGAATTTAACCATTCAAAAACATTTATTTAACTGATTTCATTATGTATTTTACTTGTTTAGTATGGCACAATATATGTATGCGTTAAAAATGTCTTTACGTGTGTTGACAGCTATTTTTTATAAATCAGAATGTATTTTTGATATTAAATATACACGTTTATCTCTGGCCAGCTCTTACTTTTAAGTAGTAGGTACTTGTATTTATCAGAGCAACTACTTAAGCAAGTTATTCTTAACTTTTATCTGTAATTTGCTATTAGTAGCAGCTGTTAAACAAAAATGAAATCAGGACAGCAGCACCAAACAATTCCCTGTTTCTAGAAAATGTTTGATTTAATATTTATTCGAGACTTTCGTCAATGGAATATGCACTATCCTTTTCCACAGAGACAGACTGTTGGTTATTGTGAGCCTCAGAGTTCCTCATCTCGCCATCTGGTTTCTTGTTTCTTGTGGCAGAACCTAGACATACTTCTACTAGGTCAACGTTACTTACATGTCTTCTGACGGGTCATGGACCTCTAAATAAGCACTTCAATAGAATTGGTCTGATTGTCAGGGCAAAATGCAGTTTATGGAGACATGAATACGAGGATTCTGTATATATACTGTCATAGTGATTGTTTAAGGATGAAAAGGACACAAATACAAACTGATATTTAACTAATACCACTTTTCTAATTTTTAATATCTGTCTCTGTGAAGTATACAATGGAGAAATTGATTTTTAGATTAGGATACCTATCAGCTAATGGAGGTGAATAAAGCACAATAATTTTTCAAATTTGCTAATTTTACTTATTCGCTATAATAGTTAATACAAATTTATAGATATACAAATTAAGTAATAGAAAATGATGACTAGCATAAAGAATACCATATTTTAAGTATATCACTTATTGATAAGCGCTTCTCAATATTGTTTACAATAACATGTAACTATTTAAAAAAAGTATAAAAAGATCACTTATTTTATATTATAATAATTATAATATAATAATATGTTATACAATTTTATGTGCAGCAAAATCACCACTCATCACCATTTATGTTAATAACCTAACATTTCAACATGTATATTATATATATATCATATAACAAGTTGTTCCACAAAAGGACGTTTTTTGATATTTGAAGAAGGTACAACAACAATTTATTTTTTGCACAGCTCTTATTTTTAAGTAATAATTAATTCTATATACAATAAGTGTAGTTATTTGAATAACCCGTATATAAATTCACTTATAATCTATAATACAGATATATTTCAAAAAAGTGTTATTATAAGATACAAATATTGGTTAATAGTTCTTTAAAGATGTTTTAGATAATGTCAGACAAAAATCATTACAGAATGTTTTTTCTAATTAAAAAAGACCATTCGTATTGAAAATGTATTTACTTTTGATTGTGTTAGTCATTAAGATGGTAGGAACAACCACAATGTTTAGGGTCATATTATTCTACCCCCTTATCTTTTTTCTCTTTCTGTTCTTCGTTTTAATGAAATATATAGAAAAACAATTGAATGTTGCGTTTTAGATATATAATCCATATTTTTGTTTCCATAAATGGAGACATGAAGAAAATTTCCTAAAATATAGGTCTACCATTTCTTCCTAGATAGAAAGGCAAAAAAGACAAGGGGTTGATTGTTATGGAAATAACCCTATAAAAATACAAAATAACAGTTTAGACGCACAAATAAAGACATTATAGACAAAAACCTCAAAACACTCATCATAAATCATCATATCATAAGTCCGTTGCCCTGTTAGTAGATTCTGAAGGATAGTGAATTATATGTAGCGTTTTAAAATGATGTCCTTAACGTAAATATAAGTACAAGGTATAACAGTGTACGATCCTTCAAAGATTGAACTTGAAGCAGTTTTTGATCAATTCTTCAAAAACCATTGAATATACTGGGTGATTCAGTCATAATGTCATTAGTTTTATCCAAGTATTCGAAAGGTCTAATAAAGATAGAAAAACGAGAAAAAAATGTTTCGAAACTGGAATACATTTCCTATAACATGCCGCAACTTTTCGGAAATTTTTATTTTTTTTTCATCTTTTACACTGCTTACACAGCAAAAATGGTAATTTATGATTTTTTAGAACATTGACGGCTAAATTAGAAATCCTTTTTCTCTTGTTTTTTGCCAGATCGAGATGTGAAAATCATGCTTAACCATTAGTCATTTCGTGAATATTTCTAATTTAGCCGTCAATGTTCTAAAAAACCATAAATGACCCCCTTTTCCTGTTTCTTAAAATTCGTGTAAAAGATGAAAAAAATTTTTTTTTCAGAAAAGTTGCAGCAGCATGTTATAGGACATTTATTACAGTTTTCTAAACTGCCCTTTAATTCTCTGTAGGACCATTTGTCGCCGATATATCGATGATTGAAGACAAAAGGATCCTTTTCCATTAAAAGTCCGATATTTCGATGAATAAAGGTCGTATCGAAATTTAAAAAAAAAAGAAGATTAAAGCTGAATAAACAACCTATCTGGTCTATGCAATGGCTTAGCTGAAAAAAAAATTTCCAAGTCCGTGAACTGAAAGAAATAAAAAAAAATTGCAAAATTTTTTTTGTCGCGTTATTTCTTAGAATTGCATGAAAACCGTAGTTCCTAAAAATTTTCGACCGAAAGATCTAAAAACTAGAATCTTAGAGCTTCAAAATGCTTTATTTTAATTCTCGATACGACCATTTTTCACTTAAATACAGTCTGTCAAAAATCACGGAAAAATTTCGGAAATTCTTTTGACCCTTTAATTGTTTGGTTTAGTGTATTTGTAAATTTAAGCCTACCTAATAAATCTAAACACTCAGTATTTGAAGAAAATTCGAAGTAGTATACAATACATATAAAAATACTTCAATTCTATATTGATCTGCACTGATCAGGTCAATAAATAAATTAATTAACATATCACTGGCGCCTTCGCCAAAATATCGAAATTCGCGGCAAGTCCATACCACCAGACCACCATTTGAAAAAAAATATATGCATTTTCATTTTCGGAATAACGCTGTCGCAATGGAAACTTTGACATTGCGTCACAGTGCCTTAAAATTTTTTGCGGAATAAACACGGGTCTCATAAAATTCAAAGTTTCAAAATAATCGAAGATTTTGCTCTTTGAATCCATATGGAAACTACCATATGTATTTTGAGGCACTGAATCCGAATCCATCATTAGTTTTACTCCAGAAGCCGAACGAATTTAAAAGAACAGGAAAAAAGCATGACTTTTACAGTTCAATATACGCAGAAGAAGCCTGTGAAGTTTCATTTTGATCTAGTCCAGTCAAACTTTTAAAAAAAATTAAAGGGTCACATTTTTTGAGCTTAAACACTTCATAATCATGATTAAAATGGAAAAAAATATATTTTTTTGAGGTTTTCTCACATTTTTACCACAAATAACGTTTAAACTGATGATAAAAAAAATTTCGAAAAACTTTATGAGGTTGTTTTTTGTTTTTTTTTTTGGAAAACAATATTCAATTGTATAAAACATGGCGAAAACGTTAACAATATTAAAAATATTAAATTGATATAACCTAACATTCGAAAACAATTATTATCCATGTACATTTGTTTTTATTAACAAATCAATAATACTTGTTAATATTTAAAAGGTAAAAAAATATCTTATTCATTCATGTGTCCATTTAAAAAGATATGTTTACTCATTGTTTCCTAACTTCCCTGAAAATTACTGACATGACGGAATCACCTTGTATAGAATTCATAGTACAGTGCACTTCTCTTGTAGTGTCCATCTACGTGTAAAATTTGAACAAAACTAACCAGTGGCATCGATATTGAGACTGGTTCTAATGTACCACCTTTGAAGGGTCGAAGAGCCCTTATAAATCGTTACTTTTTTTGTATATTTTGACGAGAATTGGTCTTGAAAGTTTGCCATAGTGTTATTGTTACCTTGTACAATCACAATTAAAATTGGGTTTCAGAAATCAAGGAACGTTAATAGGTATTGTGACGAAGAAAAATTTAAATTAAAAAAGAATTAATACTAAAAATGTACTCGAATGTCAATGCGGAAATAAGAACTAATAATCAAGAAAAATGATAGTTTTTTACGAAAGTATTTTTAAATTTGAAATGTTTTCATATTGAATTTTACATCTATAATGTCTTATCTGCGTTTGAAAGCTTGAAATGGTCACGTACCTCAGTACAAATATTTTACATCTGCAAACATTATGAAACATTATTCTATAAACACCTTTTTTATCATTTTCCCATACTACTAACCTAAACACTATATTTTTACTTACATTGAGCTAGTTCGATTTGTTTCATAATGAGCTACAATAAAACATTGACTTCTTATAATAACTGTAAGTTGTTTGATGGAAAAGGAAGTTTGTAGACATTATCCGTTTCCTTTAGTTTTAAAAGTTAGTTGGCTGGTTGGATTTCATCTAATCGTGATCGTGAAGTTATGGTTATAGGAAAACGGCCATTGTTAACAAGACAAGCATTAGAATTTAAAATATAAAACTCGTTTGTTGTATTGTTTTTGGGTTCACATCTAGGAAGTTGACAGGCTTTGTTCACTGTTCACAAACCATAATGTAATATTTTATAACTTCTTTATAATAAAAAAATAGTAAAAAGGTATAAAATTAGTTAATGAATCAAATAAGTTAACACAGATAATAAACCACAACAACACAACATTACAGTTGTGGTTATAGACATACCGATTATGATTATATTCTAACATTTAACATTTCTACATCAACGAAGATAGCTACGTTATTTTCAATTCTCTCTTGCTCTTCTTCTAGTTTGTACAAGCTACATTTGGTGGTTATTAAGACATTTAAGATACAACAGTCATAACTATGTATTTGAAAAACCTTATTGATGATTAAGAAGAGATTTCTGTTTTGCAGGTAAGTGTTGATGTATTTTGATTTATTTGATAAACCAGTTATTCCTAATTTTATTTTTCTTATTAAATGTAAATTTTATTTGATTTATACATAAAATGCTATTTATATAATCAATATGTTTAAATCTACCGTACTGGTTTCTTGATATCCTACAACTTTTATTTAAAACTTTTTTGATAGGACTCAATTCTGAGAAATTATCGATGGATTTGGGTTTTCTGGAGATACATAGCATTTTAATTTATTACTAATCTTATTATTTTCTAAAAAATCTAATACACAAGCTTGACCGCACTGGAATAATTTGTTTAGTATACTTAGATGTGTGTAAAGCAAGAATACAAGTCATAACAAAAAATATGTAATTTAAAAAATATACGTATTTATTTTTCATCCTGAGATGGAGTATATTTGATATCTTTTCCATGTAGGTGGGGGCTTAGTAGTAGTAGTAAAAGGGGCAGCCTCAGCCTGGCAATTAGGCCACAAGTGGGCCCTTTTTGCCTACCCCGCCGACCCATCACCTAACCACTCTCTGCCTCTGAACCTCCTCGAACCTACCCGACGCCCTAATGAACGCCAGGATTTTGGTCCATGGAAGGTCTCGCACCTCAACCCCTTGCAGCTCTTCAGCACCAAAGACTTTATGTCTTATTCTCCCAAAGGCTGCACACTGTCCCAGAAGGTGGACAGGGGTGTCCTCCCCTTCACCACATTTCGGGCATAGAGGGTCCTTCTCAATTCCTATTAAGCTTACATGCCTCCTAAGTCTGCAGTGGCCTGTCAGAACCCCCACCATTTGGTTTAGGGCTCTTCGACCAAGGCTCAGCAGCCATCTCGTCTTGGATTTGCTAGGTCTATGTATAAAACTATGGGCCTGCCTACATCCTCTATTTCTCCTCCAATTATGACCTAAAGTTTGATAGGCCCATTTATTTAGGGCCCCGTTAATGCTGCCTCGTGTGATACCTAAGATTGGTTCAGGTCCCTGTCCGGATCCCCTGGATCCGAGACGAGCTAATTGAACCGCCCTCTCGTTACCAGGGATACCCATATGGCTTGGGACCCAAACCAACTCCACTTCTTTTCGTCTGGCGTCTCCACATTCCTGGACAAGGACAGACCTAGTCCTAGGGGAGCTAACCGCTCTGAGGGCGGCCTAACTGTCGGAGCAGATAACAATTTTCTTCTCTGCACAATTCCTTACCTCCTCTTTGCTTGCTACCATCAAGATAGGAGCTTACTCGGTGCAGTGTTGGTCGTGTCTGAAACTTGTAGTCTACATTTGAAATTAATTAATGTATGATGCCCTTCAGCACAAATACTATGAACTATTTTCAAGATATGTTTTTTTTGTGATGTAGAGAGAAAAGCAGTAGAATTTTTGTAAATAGAATAAGTTTTAAAACTGCGTTTACTACTTAAAAGTGGTCCATCAATTGACATAATATGACCTATTAAAGTGACAAAGACTTCTGCTATTCAAAATGCAAACAAGTATTTAAATAAAAGTTAGAGGGTATTCAATAAACTATGTCTAAAGGGCTTTTATCAGCAGTGGTACACAGCATAAAGACAGGTCTTCATCAAATATTCTTCCTATTCAATTTACGAGGAGCAAAATTGGATTTTTTTTTGGAATTTCGCGATATTTCCTAAAACCATTCATTAAACTTTTGTATCCTTCATACATAAACAATTTGGATAAAAGATAATGATATACTAGCTGGTAAAATTTAAAAAAGCAATAGTCTTTGACGAAGAAACAATTTTGATCATCATTATATGTTAGACACGGACAAAAGCAATAGTTTTTGACATAGAAACAATTTTGGTCGTCATTATATGTTAGACAGGGACACTATCTTGAAATAAGTAATTTGTTTCAAATGATTTTATATAATTCATTCATTTACATTATTTCTATCTTCATCCATCTCGTCAAATAACTTTTCTAACAAAACAACTAATAATGGTGTGTATTCGAATATGTCCAAGAAAAAATTTGTGATGCTTAGCTCAGAAAAAAGTTATGAGTTATTGTAAATAAAAAATAAAAAAAGTTGTTTGTATTTTTTTGCAGATTTGTTTCTGCTTATTTTGGTTAAAGGCTATTTCGATGGAAAATTTAATTTTCTACAAAAAGTACTCTTGCAATCTTTTTGATTTTATCTTGGTTTCTGAGTAATATTGAAAAAAAATAAATAAAATTCACCCCTTTTATCCCTAAATTTAACAGCATTTTGAGATTTTATCATTTTAGGTGTTCAACAAACCCATAAAACAATAAAAATCCTTTGCAATTATTCCTTATTTCCTTTTTAACCTAATAACCCTAATACGAGCTACTCCAAAAGGTATTATCTATACTACAGATTGTGTGATATAGATTAATTTCACTCCAAATTTGCGTTAGATAACCAAAACAATTAAAATACACAGATAAATACGTACTACAATCAAAATAATTGTTTTTAGAATCTTAACCTTTGATTTGATGATGCAATTGCAAATTCATGTAGCTTCTAAATGAATTTATATTTGATTCCAAATGCTAATGATATAAATTGTAACAAAAAGCATTTCTGTCTCGAAAATTGTGTTTTTTGTATAGTTTAACAATAACTTGAAAAAATTATTAACTTATTTGGAAACTCATCAAATCTTCCTTAATAATTGTTTTTTATTTTCTATCTGTCCGATATCCTCTTTCATATTTAATGTCAATGTCTACCCTTTAGAAACATGTAAAATCTTTTTGTTCATATGAAATTCTGCGTTTATTTTGATACAACCTTTAGTACAGTGATAGATATTGTATCTGAATCTGTAAAATTGAACAAATTTATGTAAAACGATTGCGATTTGTTGGTATTATCTGTATCTACTCTACCACCCTGTTAATGTTTTGGTAATTTGCTGATAAGTATCATTATAATTATATAGAAGACAATTATTAATTCGGCGAAATTAGCCTTTTGTTGATTTATCACAACTGTCTTAAATACTTTTCATAAAAGTTAATGAAACATCTAAGGATAATGGGATCAATGTTTAAAAATTCTAATATGTACACTGATATACCTGTATGCAAGAGTTTCTTAATATAAGTCAGTGGGGCAGTCAGTAGGGTCGAAGGGCCATGGTTATCTCTAAGTTTTTGAGTATATTCACAACTGAATACAAACATGGATTTTTTTTGTTGTTTAACCAGAAGCGTTCAAGACAGTTTATTGTTTTTATAGATAATATATAACCATTAGGTATTATTTACATAGAACCACAATCATCTCTGTCTTAATGAAACCCTCCTCTCAGACTTTGTTCAGGTTGCTGCTACTGACGTGGGTATTTTAAAGTCATAGCACACACTTTACATTTAGATTTTTAAAGTTGCAACGCTACGTTTTCATTTCGTGTAGCTTGGTCGTACAACTTATAAACAATAGTAGCCCCATTACCATTCAGCTTTACTATCGCTATTAACTCTCTACCATAAGACTAACAACAATTAAGGTATTTTAGTATATTGCCACACTTATGAAACGATTGAATTAAGTAAAATTCAAGTGTTCAGCAGAGAATGTCTAAATGTATGTGGCAAAAGGTCCAATTGCACAATCAAGTTCCAGTTCTATCAGACTCGATAAACTTATATATTTTGAAAAAGGTTACATTATCTTTCACACTTATCACATTTATGTAAAGGTGGAAACTAAAATTTTGCTGGGGAAATCACTTGGGATTTCATTTACTAAGTATTTTTCAAAAGGTAATACGTTAAATTTGCTGGAATATTTAAGGTGCCAAAAAATCTCTTTCGGTGTGTCCGTAAAAGTTAAAACAGGCGTTATTAAAAAGTTCAGCAGACTTTATAGCATTAGAAGTACCATATGGATTTTTTTTATTTTGAAACACCTTGTTTAATTTATGCATGTTATTTTAATGTTGGTAACATTTGTAATTTTCCTGTACGAGTAGTTTTAGCAGTAGGTATTTATAACTGTTTAGTTCATTTATATTTAAAATTATTTAGAATTACATTGAATTGTTAATATACTAAATATTATCAGAATTATTCTTTATATCACCACAAGTTATATCTAAAAAAAATGAAACGGCACATACTTATTCCTAAACTGATACTTAAGGTACAAATTTAAGTTACAACTATCCTGCCTGGCTCCTTATAACAGAACGATGCAATTTAAGAGACGTTGCAATCGTCGTTCGCATTTTGTGCTTCTCGCATCTGCTGTTTAGTTTTTCTGCTGGCTCTCCGAATGAGAGAGCGTGAGCGTGGTTTCATTAACGTGTCCTTGCCCTCCGACGTTCCCGGTTTGTCCTTTTCCGGTGCTGGGCTTGCAGTTCTTCTGCCTGCCTTGCTTGCCGAGACGTATGCACTCGAACGCCTTTTCAATCCACTCGATTCTTCCGTATCCCGCGGAAATATTTTCGACAGAGTCAGGAACGAGCGAAATATCTCCCTGATGTTGATATCGTCTTTCGCTGAGCACTCCAGAACTTTAACCCTGAAATGATTTATCTTTATTAACTATTCTGGAGCATACCTAAGTTAGTCCAGACGGTAACTGTTTCAAAAAGTCCATATTTGGGTGAATCGTATATCCACGGTGATTTTTGGCTTTTTGGCTTTCAAATATCACTAGTAATGAAAATTTTTCTATTCACATAAAAACAAACGTGTGCTTAACTTTTGGCAGCACAGTATGTTAAAAAAAATTCGAAAAATATAATATTTTTATTTCTATTTAATTATGTATCTTTTCAAGAGTTGATTTTAGGCGAAAATGGAAAAGGAAAAAAATGTTTGTAATTAAATTTTTTACAAAATATGACTAGTTACAAATCGAATGAATCATGATTATTATTGTAAAAATCGAAAAAATCGCCAAAAATGGGGTTAAAAACATTACTTTTTAGGGAATTTTTTTGGGGTATTTAAATTGGATATAGGACCTTCATACTTGGCTCAAGAAAACTTCATGTTATGTAGAATAATCACACCAAATTTCATCAAAATCGGTTGGATAGATTTTGCATAATAATTTTGCAATCCTGATTTTGAAAAAAAATTTGCAAATTTTCATAATTTTACACAGCAAAAACCAAGGCCCTTAGATACTTGAAAATTTAATCACGTATAGAAAGGCTCTCAAGCTTTCAAACGCTTTTTGGAAAATTCGAATCCGTCAATTAGGAGAGCTCTGACGCTTGTTTAAACATTGGTCGAATTTTTGTACTTGTCATATTTTGTAAACAATTTAATTACAAACATTTTTTCCTCTTCCATTTTCGCCTAAAATCATCTCTTGAAAAGATAAATAATTAAATAGGAAGAAAAATAAGACATTTTTCGATTTTTTTTAACATACTGTGCCGCCAAAAAGCCAAAAATCTCCGTGGATATACGTTTAATCCATACCAAAACAGATACCGCCTAGTCTAAATACCTATTTAAAGGATTAGACCAATAAATAGAGCAAAAAAAGTCATATCTTGACAGAAATACTAACAGCACACCACCTGTTTCATCATTTAAAAAATAGTCCGTAGATATACTCCGATGTGTTTACGACTTGCAACTCTGATTAATTAATTAATTTGTTAACATTTTAGTGCAAAAAACGCGTTTTTTTTAATTTTTTTGCTTATAAACCCAAAACTACTTGAGCAATCTCAACTCCGTAAATGAAAAACTTGTAGGAAATTAAATTTCGCAGAAAATGAGAGGTCGAGCGATCCGATCGGTTGATTGGAACCGGAGAAAATCCGAAAAAACCGGAGAAATCGGTATTTTTTTCAAAACATGTTAAGTACTGCTTTTCAGCAAATAATTTTTCAATGTCTGACGGTTATTAATAAATTTTTTGTAGTCATGAAATCGACAACTTTGACGCGTCAGACCGGAAAATCGGAAAATAATTTTCGTCAGACAATATAAAAAGTTGTATTTGCAGTTCTTAAAGATAGGATCTTGAGAAAATCAGCTGGCTATTAATAAATTTTGTTATAGTACTTTCTCTGACATGTTCGAGGTTGCAGACATTTTGAACGGCTCATATCTTTTGTCAGAGAATTTTAAGATAAACAACTATTGTGAAAATAAAGAATTTAGAAAATTAGATAACTGCTTTGCAATTTTATTTTTGAACAGGTAAATGGTAAAATTAATGAATTTTTTAATATTAAGTGTCTAACTTTGGAAAACAGTAACATAATATTTTTATTAAATTCGACGCTCAAAATTCAAGACAAAAACAAAAATGTGTTCAATGTTTGTTCACTTTTCACAAAAAGTAAGTAAGAATCATTCAGAGTTTAGTAATGGAAAGATGGGCAACACAGGATATTTGGTGTTAAATGTCCCATAACTTTTTTATTACACAAAAATCAAGAATAATATTTTGTCCCTGATTTTAGTAACACTAACTAGCTTATTCTTTTCTGAAACATTTAAAATAGAATTATGGGAACTTTGTTTGTTTTCAAAAAAATATAAAATTAGCAATATAATCGAATAAAAAAGGATATATTTCTAAATTGTTGAAATAGTTTTTGGTTAAGGAGGTATATCGGGGTCCGAGGGAAGTGAGGAGCGCAGGAGGAGTCCTATGCTTTTCTTATGGGACTAAAGGTCGCTACCAATTTGAAAAAATTAAGTTGTATTGAAATTATTTGCGATAAACATTATCTATATAGCAAAGAAATCTACTCATATGCACATAGCATACATATTGACTAATTAACAACGTAAAAATATAATATTTAAGTAGTTTTAAATTATATTTAATGAACGCGTAAAGATTATGCAGATGTGGCAACAGCTCTGATAATTGACTAGTAGTTGTACACACTGCGAATCTACAGACCTTGGACATCGGAGATATTGCGCGTCAAAACTATGTAAAATATAATTATTATATATAGCAAATATATCGTATTATCCTCGCGAAGATTTGTATCCTTTATTTAAAATCCGTATATCATGTGAACTGGTAAAACAACGAGAATTATGTTAATTTAGTTCTAAAGAAATGAAATGACACTCGCGCCCATCTCTCGTCCAAGTCAAAGAAAATGTTGGATGCAATTTTGAAGGTTCTGTGATAGAAATTACATTATTACTCACTGTTCGTGTTTCGTGTTTTTAATCTCTATTTTAGTAATGTTACAAAAGTGTTGCAACTACTTTTTAGACATAAAGTTTGCTAAGAGAAATATTTATGTTCCTTTGTTATTCCGTACAAATGCTTTTATCTCAAGTATTACTAATTATATTAATGAAGTAGAGAAAACTTTATGTAACCCTAAATATTGCTGGGTAATGATTACGATGTTTATAAACCATTAAATATATTAAATGGATTTATCAACTGTATTTTTTATTCCAATAAATATATCACAGTTTCTTAGTCCTTTTTAATTAATCTAGATTTTTTAAAGATATTACAAAAAATTATCTGTTGTGGATAATTTATTGTTGATAACAATGTACATGGGATTTAGGAAAAATGTATATGTTTCAAGTCAATTTCGTTTTTATCCAGTCTTTCAAATGTATTCCCTCCTTGCTGTCAGCTGATTGCGACGTTGCCACATTAATCCTCAAGTCAGACAGAAATGCAATTATTGATTTCTGTTTCTAATTAATACAGCTGTACTATGTTCAAGGAAATAAGATAATATGGTGTACTATCTATGGAAAAGTTTTTTTTCACAATTTCTACATTTTTTCTCAGTTATTGGCAAAAAAAAGAGCCGCACCGTCCATCTTCGCCATATAAACCTACGTTAAAATGAACAACTTTCAACATCAATATCTGCGTAATACGCTATATAAATTTCAAGTACATCTGTGCATTTGAGTAAACCCGATATACCTCCTTAAAAGCAAAAGGGTACAAAGTTCTGATTGACCCTTGTATTTAGTGCAGCTTACCTCAGCTTTGGTAATTCGCAATACACCCACTCGGAAACATCTTCAATAGGAATCTCCCTGTGCGTCGAAGTCAAGTCTAATTTATTACCGGCTACTACGATAGGTATTTCCTGGTAGTCTCCCCTTTGTTCTCGAATCTCCTCAAAACACTTTTTTATGCAATCAAACGACGGGGCGGATGTAACGGCGTAGACTAAAAGAAAAGCGTGGGCTGTGGCTATACACAGCCTCCTCATCGCCGGAAACTGCATGTCTCCAGCAGTATCCAGAATGTCAACTTTGAGCGTCATGTGGCCCAAGTCGTATTCCCTGTTGTATAAATCCTCGACTGTGCTCCGGTATTTACTGATGTAAGTGTTCGTTAGAAATCGTTTTATTATGCAACTTTTGCCAACGCCTGCACCTCCGAGTATTACCAAACGGATGCGCTCGTAGTCTGACATGGTCGTGGTGCTGTTCATCTCATTTGTATTGCTGTTACTAGCGATGGTTTACAAAACTTGTTCGTAGACAGAACGGTTTTATCATTTTGAATGAATTGAAACAGTTATTTCACAGTCACGTCAGTTTCTCTTGGTCCACATGTGATGTATGTTTCGAATAACGTTTCTGACATTTTAAAATTCACAGTTAATTTTTATACAAAGGAATGTTAGGTGCTATCAAGTTGAAAATGTATTGGTTAAAGAATTCTTGCTGGTTTTCTTTTATTGTCCTGAGTGAATTTGAGTGCTTGTATTAGATTTTACATTACCTCTAGTGTACTTTTAGTAATATGTTATTCCTTCAACGAACCTGCAAAATAAAAAAAGGCAGTCAGTCTTACCATACGTATTAGTGATTAGTTTTTACAAAATTATAATTTTTTAAAGAAAATTTTAAAATGTTGAAATTAAGTTGCTTTTTACAAATAACAAAGTAGGATGTGCAAAATAGTGTTATAAATAAATTGTTCCAGGGTCAGGCAAAAACCGCTCGGGAATTCGCTCTTTTTGCATTGAATAAAGCTCATTTTTAGGGTAATTTACAAAAAAATCGCCTACGCCTCTTTGTTTTCAAGATAGTTTTTTTTTTATAACGTTCATTGTTAATTAACTAACTAACGTTAACTAATTAATATTGACTTTTACTGCTGCTAGCGCTTTTATTACATAAACTATCAATGTAACAGTTTTTGAAAATAAAAGCTTAATCCTTTTTTTAATTGTTAGTCCGGTCATTGAAGGTAAAATACGGCGTTACTATATAATTTTCCCAAACAGCACCGATTTGCACCGAAATTTGGATTTAGGTTCTATTTATCGTCTACTTCAAAGTTTAGATATGTTGAATTGAAAATTGTCAATCCCTAAAAACCACCCTCTATGACAGTAATCATTAAAAAATAATGTTGAAGAATATTATTCAGCAACTTGGAATAATTTAATATATGTAGTGATATTAAATTAAGATTTCTTTACTGTTTTAATTTTTTATTATTTATTTATAAGTTTCGACCCAATGCAAAAAAAATCGAACAATTATAGTTAAAAATTTTTTGTAGTTCAAAATATAATACAATCTTTATATTATTTAAAATGTAATATATTTATTTTATCAAACCTTAAAAAATCCCTACTGATTAAAATTTGCCATCAAAAATAGGGAAAATAAGAATTTTATTTTTATATGAACATTAATTTTTATAACAAAAGTTTTTTTATTGCAATTAACATAAATAATCAAAAATGTAAANCAATCAAAAATAGAGAAAATAAGAATTTTATTTTTATATGGATTTTAATTTTTTTATATTTTTATAACAATTTTTTTATTGCAAATAACATATAATCAAAAATCCTCTTCACTCTCGTCTTCCTTTTCTATTCTATTCCTAAAATTCCTATTTCTATTTCTAAAATATAGCTATAATGTGTATTCATCAATGCTTCAATATACGTGTTATATCTGCAAAAATATGTGATTGGTATTTATGCTATTCAAAAAATCATTTTGTAGTTTTTTCAAGGGCTATAAGATCAAATAAGTTAAATTTTCTTTCAGCCCTTATTTTTGTAAGAGTTTGAGCTGAAAGAGCTTGAACAAGTTGCTATTTATGAACATATGCAAACTTTAAACTTTCATATCTTAGTTAATTTTTATCCAATAGAAAAAAAAAACAAAATTTTCAAGAAAGCAAAACCTACAATTTTGTACTTTACAAAATTTTGCGTATCATTACTAGTTTTTGAGTTATTTTAGAGAAAAGACATTTTTTCCAAAAATACAAAAATTCTCTTTTCACTTCAAGCTCAACTTTTTTCAAAACTAAGCACTTTAAACCGGTCAAACCTCTAGAGCATATTACAGGTACATAAATAAAGTAAATTGTAAAGTCGTAGGTAACGATTATTTTTAATTGAGGTGGTAATTAAGGGGTGATTTTCAAGTTTTTTGTCGCCAAAAAAAAAATACGGACCAACTTTATTTTCGTCATAACTCGCTTAGGTTTGATACTAGGTATTTTTATAAAAAATAAAAACAAAGAGTTTTTCAAACACTTTGAAAAAGGTTCTATGAGTATTCTCTTAAAAATGCATTGGTTTTTGGTTATTTCACGTTCAAAGTTTCTTTTGGCGTTTGACGAATTAGAACCAACCTTCAACAAGCTATTGCTCCGCTTGTATTGGGTTTACAGACACCATAAACACACCATTATTTTTATTTTTTTATAAGCTACATTTTTTGTAATATTTTTTTTTGATAAAATACTTACTTTTTGAGTTATTCGCGAAAAACCGTCTGAAAAAGTGTTTTTTTTTGTTAAAAAAATTTCGCTTTCACTCGCGAATAACTCGAAAAGTATCAACTTTCAGAAAAAACTTTATATAACAAAAGCTGCTTAGAATTAGTCAATACATACATTCCCGTTATTTTCGATGAAACATTTTTCACCCCCAAGTAGGGGTGGCATCCACCCCCAGGGTCAAAACAACCCCCGGTACAAGGTCAACTTTGAAGTGGAGGGTAAGTAGAACCTAAATCCAAATTTTTATGAAAATTGGTGCTGTTTGGCAAAATTATACGGGAAAATGGTTATTGACTGGACTATGTCTCTGAAATCCCGGTCCGATACGTCCAATAGTGTTAATCAACAAATAACGTTATAAAAAAGCTGTTTTGGGCAGGTGATTTCATTTTCTTTAGTTACCGTAGCTCTATTTAATGCAAAAAGAGCGAATTCCCGAGCGCCTTTGCACGACCCTGGGACAATTTATTTATAACGCTGTTTTCTTGAATACTTATAATCAATAAATCAAAACCTTAGCAGAACGAGTATACAAAATCAGGGCTTCCCATTCTTATTTTAAGGACTGTTTTGTTAATCATGGGTTAACATCTAACTAGAGGTTAAAGGCTAAACATTAAAGTTGTTTTAAATATATGCATGTATTTATAAATTTGTAGTTTAGACTGCAATCATTTGCGAAAACTTCATATGAAAAGTGTAAATCATTTTTATTTATCTACACCTGCTATCCAACGACTATGATTTTTATTAAAATAGACTCAAGGTAGATATCAAATAAACAAAATATGTATTGTCATACGAGAACTCATTTATTATATACATTAACAACAAAATCTTTACAACTGGACAAAAATTAATGATAGGTGGAAATATTTTGATTGTGAACACAATTTTTTGATAATATGGGATGTTGAGCCAGTATTTTAAGTTTTAAAGGCAATATTTTCGCTTACCAAATGCAAAATAGCTTTTTTTTTCATAATCAAGTGGTTGGTACAAACAGAACCTCTTTGTCAAAATTAAATTTAATTTTTTTATTCTACCTTTGAAACTTCATAATAATTAAAAATTAAAATTTTATGAAAATTAAGAAAACACCTGTTTATGTCGATCAGGCGATTATAAAAAAAATATATTTCGCAAATTTCTGAGCATCTCAAAGTCGATAACCGCTAATACAATTTCTGTACCCTAAAAAACGGTTTGGGTTCCAAGCTTCATTATCAAAATATAACCAATTTAATTTTTACCACCCGCTATTTTTTAAGACACACTATATTTTTTAGCGATTGAATTCACTGGAATTAAAATTATGTTTAGTTTTTTTTTTAAATAGGCGTCATAAAATTATACTTTCGCCCAGAGAAGTATTTTAACTTACATTGTGGCTTACGATAAAAGATTGTTGTGATTGAATTTTAAATCCCACGTAGACGGAAACACCAAAGCACGCGAACGGATTTTGATACAAATGTTTGGCGCTCGCGTAAAATATATTCTGCTTTAGATTTCGTTATTCAATTTTTTTTCCACGAATTCCCTAACAGTAGTTACAAGCATAAAATTTATAATAGTCCTAAATTGGTTCGAGTTAATTTTATAGAGTCTTTGTTTAAAACGTATCATAATTAGAATTCAGCCATTTTAATAATGTACGTATTTATAATAACTTGAAAGATACACTTTGTCCCAAAATGATGGAACAAAATTTATATTTTTTCCAGTAGTGGAGTCAAGATAGATTTTGACTTCGCGAAAATTACTGGAAGAGAGAACTTTTTATTTTTCGCTTTGTAAAGTTTTGTGTTTATTTATTGTTGTTTAAACAATTAAAAAACAATTAGCGTACAAAAATAAGTTTATAACTTTTTTCTAATACTTATCTCCAAGTAATTTCAAAAGGTTTTAGGAAAATCCATGCTTCCCATAATTATTTCGAAATAATGCGTAATTTTAAGCTGTCTTGACTCCACTGCAGTTCAGATTTTAAAAAATCGCTAAAACAGGTCAATTAGTAAATAGAAATTGTCACATTTCTGCAATAATTTCAATTTTTTTGAGCCATGTTTGACATATTCATAACATTACCAACATTTTTTTTTAAATAGGACGCTTTATGTTTTATAGTAGGTATAAATATATAGCCCTTCTATAGACGAATTCAGCGATATAAGGTTATGCCTACTTTTTTGTCATAGTTGTCAAAAATGGAGGATTTTGGTATGTTTTTTAATCTTTACCTGGAATTAGATTTTAAATTGATTTTGCTGAATAATAAGGCTGGAAAACTGCTGCTTCTTCGCGTGGCTGTGTATAAAAGTGTATAATTAAGACTTCTTGGAACTGAAAGCAGTTAATTTAAATTTCAATGTTGGGTTGGAAAAGATTTTGATTAAATCTGTTGGGAGGGTATCACCGATCCATCAATCACTGCTTTAAAAGGCTCTGCCGAAATAAGTTGTTTTGGCAATATATATGAACTTTTCATTCCTTTGGAAATATGTTGCGCATGTAAAATTATATAATCCCCGAACATCTATATTTACTATTGGCACGTCACTAAAGTTTTAAAGAGTTTTAAAGTGAGAGGATAAATATTGAAACGAGGCCAAGTTAAGTTAGTCTCACTGCTGTCAGAGTATTTAAAGTCATGAAATTATCTAGGACATTCTCATCAAGCATCAAACAATCTTATTATGTATACGAGAAATTCCTATTAATCTCTCGCGACGCTAAAGATGGGTGAAGCAAGACAAATAACTGACTATACAGGATG